GTCAGATGAAGGGCGCGGATAATTGCACTGTGCTTGTTGTTGTGCTGGATACGGAGAGTAAGGGGAGGAGGAGTATAGATAGTGGGAGAAGGAGTATGGATATTGGGATGGAGGGGGGTGGGTCGAGGAGGAGGAGGCGGTCGAGTATTGCTAGCTTGAAGGACTGGATACGGGATCGTTAGGTGGCGGTTCGACGAGATGTGGCTAGGTGGTATGGGAAGTGGGGAAAAGTTTGGGAAGATTGATGGGTCAGAGGGTTTAGTAAGGCTTTTTTGGCCTGGTATGAGGCAGCAATGGCGTTTTGGGTGAGGCGGGTGTACGCCTCACAGTTCTTTTTTTCAACTGATGTATCAATATATCAATATAGCAAAGAGTATGCTAGAGTGTGAATAGTAGCACTCTATGATCACACTTCTTGCTCATAACTCTTGTATTTCTGCAAAGTTTTGTCCGTATCTCAGCCTTCGGGACGTCTTTCTCAGCATCATCGATACCAAAGTCCGAGCACTGATACACCATCTCAACAGCAAGATTAATCAAAGACTTCATTATTATCGCCGCATGCCACGCTAGTGCGCTACTATGCTCATCCGCTATTCGCTCAATCGTTTCAACCATCGCTAGTACGACTAAACGTATCAACTGGTTCTCAATCAACGACTACCATGAAAAGCGTTGAACAACGAAGAGGGGGTATATCCATGCATGCCACGTCTAGCTCCTAAACGCCCAGAACAAATCTCCGGAATACAACCAGAACCATCGCTCCTATCGTCGATTTCAAGGAATCCATCTCTTCAGACTTCGCACTTTTGAACAAGCCAAGTCTGCGTCGTCTAAACCTTCCGTTTCTTGTACGTCGTTAGACCCTGCATCAGCGGATCCTCATCAACAGTCCAAGTCTGAGCATCAAGCCTCGCCCGCTTCTCTTCGCGCGACTCGCCGAATGCCTCAGCCCTCTTGCCAGTCTTCTTGGTACTCTGAACAGGCTCCACAGACACAGGAGTGCCAACGCGAGAGCCGCCAACCGCAGGCGTAGGCAGCGAAGTATCAGTAAGAGCAGGCGGAGAAGCAACCTCATCATCAGCGTCGATCTCATTCAGCTGACGCTGCGCCTCTTCGCGCTCCTGCGACCAAATATCATGCTGATCTTTATACTGCTTCTCCATATTCGCGATCCACTTTTTCTGCTCTGCGCTCTCCTCGCCCGACTCGACGCACGTGGGACACTTGATGTAGAAGCCACCGGTTGTGTGCTGCTCGCCCATGAGCTCGAATTCGGGGAGGGTGTCGCCGATCAACTCGGTTTCGTTCCAGTCGAGACAGTCCTCGCAGAAGCCTTGGGGACACCAGCGGCAGCGGAAGATGAGACCGCCGGCGTCGTTGGTGGTTTTGCCGCAGTCGGTGCAGTTGTGCTGGGGACAGTAGAAGCCGGCGAAGCCCTTGACCTTGGCTTTGTATTGGGAATCGAGACAGTCGTAATGGTAAGCACGGGGGCAGCTCTTGCATTCAATCAGGTGTCCAGCATCTGCGTCTTCGAAGCAGCCGAGACAGTGGTCTTCATGGGTGATTTCGCGGCGCTTCTCGCGGACTGGTTCAGCGAGGCGAGGATCTTTGCCTGCGAATGTTGGCACGGCTTCCCAGTCACCACAGTTCATGGATTCTTTGTTGATAGCGAAGCCGTCCACCATGACAGTAGTGTTTTTCCCCTTACGGCGATCCTCGCGAGTGATGTTGTCTGGAAGGATGTTTGCGGCCGATGTGTTGGCCTTCCAGCTGGTGTCAAGCTGGCGTTGATGACGCTTGCCTTCGAACACAGCGCATTCAACTCGCTCCATGGTAGAGAGCCATTTATCCTCATCGACTTCAGAGTGTGTCGCTGAGTCGGTCAAATCGGCAGGGGCATCGCGGCACTTGGCCATCATAGTCTCCAGATCCCAAGACACCATCTCTTTGACATCGATTTCCGGATGCGATAGTGCCTGGGCGCCTCGCCGTACAAGCGTCTTGAGCTGCGTGGCATCCATTTGCGGCAAGTCTTCACTCAGAGACGGTCGTCCAGCCTTCTTGGTATCGGCCATCTGCTTGCCATGAACGCTCTGCATCGACTCGGTGATCTTTGCCGAGAGGTAAAGCTTCTTGCGAATACGACCCATCATTTGCTCTTCGACAGTACCCTGGGTACAGAGCTTGTAGATAGTCACCTTCTTGGTCTGCCCGATGCGATGAGCTCGGGCCTCAGCCTGGAGTGTAATCTGCGGATTCCAATCTTCGTCAAGGAAAATGACGTCCTGGGCGCTCGTGAGGTTGATACCCAAGCCACCGGCGCGGGTCGAGAGTAGCATGACCTTGTAATCAGAGTCCTTCTGATTGAAAAGGCGGATGTCCAAGTTACGCCGAGCTCGAGCTGTGCTACCATCAAGACGAAGGGACTTGAAGCGCTCTCCATGGTTGCTGATAAGAGACAAGAGGTCTTCACAATAGTCGAGCGTGCGAGTGAAGCCAGAGAAGATAAGGACCTTCTTGCCTTCGTTGAAGACGGTGTGCTTCAGAAGCTTCTCCAAGAGGATGAACTTGCCGGATGCGCGAATGATGTGGTCGCTGAGGTAATAGGGATCGGGCGAGACACCGGGGAGTAAGTACGGATGCGAGCAGCACTTGCGTAGCTGCATGACGAGGTTCATAAGCTTCTTCCAGGCGCCCTTGTTGGTGTCGGTGTCGGTCTGCTCCTTTGCAACGGCTTCTTGCAGAATTTTGGTGGTTTCTTCCCAATCAGCCTCGGCACCGCCGGAGTTGACCACCTTGTCTACTTTCTCCATCTTCGCCAGTAGCTTGTTCTCTTCGATGTCCTGCTCGATGGCGGCCTTCTCTTTGGATTTGCCATCAGCAAAGAGCTCGTCGAGCATTCCATCGTCCATACGTGTCAAAAGACGGGTGTACCAGAACTTCTGCATAGGAGTCAAGGGTACATAGAGCAGGATTTCCTCCTTGGGCGGTAGGCCGAGGTTGACAGAGGGAGAGTCCTTCATACGTCGCAGCATAATAAGTTCGAGCAAGCGGCGGGCGTCTGTCATGGTTTGCTTGTTCGCTTTGCCCTTGCTGAGATCGAAAGACTCCTTGAAAAGTGTTTCGGTCTTGTCATCGAAGACGTTAGGGTACAGCCATGTCAGAAGCGACCACATCTCGACCAAGTTGTTCTGAAGTGGTGTTCCAGTCAGGATGAGACGATACTCGGCACTGATGCTCTTGAGGGCTGTGGAGATCTGGGTGACACTGCTCTTGATCTTGTGTCCTTCATCCAAGACGACATAGCGCCAGGCGAAGCTGTGCTTGAACCATGATTGCTCAGCCTGGAAAGTCTCGTATGTCGTGACGACAATCTTGTAGTTGTCGGATTGCTGATCGTTGGAGGTGAGCTTGGCCGCCTTTCGGCCAGCCTTGCGCGAGGCTTTCCGATCTTTCGCACGCGAGGTTTCATTGCCCTTCATGTCCTCCATGCCAGCTATGACGCGCTTCAAGCGGGTTCGCTCGGTGACGGCGCCGTGGAAGCGCATGACCTTGAGTTGTGGTACCCATCGCTGGGCCTCGGTGACCCACGAGTTGAGCACACTGAGGGGGCATATGACGAGATAAGGCCGAAGCTCTTCTGACGTGACACCGTTCTTCTCGTCCAGCTCTTCAAGATACTGGAACAGCGATAATGTCTGTAGCGTCTTTCCGAGACCCATCTCGTCGCCGAGTATACCAGAGAAACCGTTGTTGTAGAGATGGACCAAGTATGACAGACCAGATAGTTGGTATGGCTTCATTACAGCGGTGACGCCTTTGGGTTGCTCCGAGAGCTCTTCGTACTCGACAATGGGCTGCGCATCGCCCTGGGCGACAAGCTTCGCGACCTGATTGTTCTTAGGCAGAAGCGGGAGGAAAAGGTCTTTGTTGGCGACGAGGAAGCTGTTCGCTCTCGCCTTAGTCTTCTTAGCAATGTCGTCACGGAGACGGGCACGAGCGGTGTCGAGGTTAGGCGGCGGCCGGGCTGACTTCCGACGAGGTGGTGACGGGGTAGGCATGGTGTCGGACTCTAGGATAGTGCTCTTCCTGTCGCGGGTGCTCCGACGAAGTCCACCAGACTGTTGGCGCTCCTTCTTGCGTTTCTCCATCTTCAGTTCCTCGGTGTAGGCCGAGATTCTGGCGCTTGTCTTGCGGTTCGGGCGGGCTGAGGGGGCAAGTTCGTCTTCGCTGGTTCCCGCGTTGGCGCCAGCTCGTCTTGTGGAGGCGCGAGGGTACTTGTCGGCGACGGTCCTGGGCTTGTGGTCAGGCGTGGATGGCGAGGCTTCGTTTGCGGATGAGTCGGAGGCGACGTAGTTTGGCGTTGGTTGCGCGCGCAGGCTGCGTTTGTTGTCGCTAGTCTCGTCTTGCTTGGTCGCCTGCTGCGAAGAGATGCGTCGTCTCTTGGTGGCCGACTGGGCTGAGCTCTCGGATCCGAACTGCGCCAGGAGGTCTTCGTAGATGCCACCTCGTTTCTTGGGAGTGATGGGCTGGGGCGAACCCAGGGTGATGACCGGATGTCCCGCCATGGCGACAACCGTGGGGTATCTTGTAGGCAGGTCTTGCGCAGTGAATGAGAATTGGCAAGGGGTCTATGGCACAAGAGAAATGACAGGGAAGTGTAGTCGGAAGGCGAAGAAAGACAAAGGACGGCAAGAAAAGTCTAAGACAAGGCCGGTGACGGTGAGGATGAAATGAAACGACGAAGCGTGCCCAAAGGAGCGTGATAAGACGACTGGGCGTCTTCACGGTGAAGTGAAGTGAAGCGTCACCGCATCGCCAGGCGCGGAGGCGATACGTCGATTGCGGCCGACGCGTCCTAGCGCGACTTGCAGGCGTTCCTTCCGGAACCGTTCCGAGCTATCAAGTCTATCCAACGCCGCGACCTCCACACGTCGACATTTCGCGAACCAAGTCCCCACGCCCGCGCATCTGGCGCACCACCCTCGACCACCATGGCGCAACAGCCCATGACGCCCTTCTTCCCCATCTTCGCCTCCAAGTCGGATGGGCAGCACATCGTCAACCTCAAAGGCCGGCCGCTCAGAAATGGGCCGACCGAGGAACAGCTCAACACGTCGCCCAACGACCAGGGCCAGCGCGACTTCTACCGCCTCATCGAGAAGGAGGACCCCAAGCACCAGGACTGGCGCAAGAAACTGGGCGGCATGCTCCTGCGCGAGATCGGAGGGAAGCAATTTGAAGGTATGGCTATGCGAGGCACATTCGCTGCAGCGCACTGACATGACTGACATGTGACAGATCGGTGGCAGCAATGCATCCTGTGGGAGCTGCCCGAGAACTACGTCCTATACGAGCACATCAAGACCAAGGCAGACGGCCAGCTGAAGACAGTCAAGAACCACTCGGGCGGTGGCCACGACAGACAAGACGCCTATCTCTATGGATACCCCAAAGGCCCCAAGAAGCGCTTCAGGAGCCCTGTCGAGTTCTTCCCCCATCTCCTGTGGCTGTGCACCGACGAGAACAGCGACATGGCCAACTGCACGTGCAAGATGTGCTCGCCCGCCGGCGACGTCGAGAAGCCCCAGGTCAAGGTCGAAGTCAAGCAAGAACAGCCTGCACTCATCAAGCGCGAAAACAGCTCCAGTGGCGCTATACCAAACACAAACGTCACAGGACGCAACCCCATAGTGCAAATCCCTGCCCAAAGATCGTCGACCGGTGCGCCTATCCCGAGTCCCATCGTCAAGCCTTCTACGCCCGTTGCCGGTCCCAGACCTGCCCCCACACCCGCCGCTGCACAGATCAGAGCTCCTCCGACATTGCAGTCAACACCTCTCCCCCAGCCACGATCCATCGAACAACAAGCCGACTTGTCATACAACAAATTCCTCTGCCGGAGCGGCGAGGTGGTGTGGTTCTTCCGCCCCAAGACGTCAGCCTGGGGTCTGGGACTGGTGGTACGAAGATGGGCTACCAAAGAGGTGCCTATGAGCAGGGCATACCTGATTCAGCCTCTGTCGCATCCTTTTGAATCGCCTCCACAAGAACTCGTGCAGACCGATGACCATGTCAAGCCCTGGCTCGCCTGGTCTGCCCCCAGCTGCACCTTTCCCTTTCTACAGCAGAACCCTCAATTCGAATATCACAACACGGATTGGAGAGCACTCATTAGCGGACAGGGAGGTGAGGGCATAGCGTCTGTCGACGCGTCTATATTAGCTGCAAAAGCCATCGATACCACGTATACACTCTTCGAGTGCCTCAAGACGAACAAGGACGACAAGGGAAACGAAGTGCGACAGTATAACGGCATGTATCTGGGCGCCGAGAAGATCTGGAGAGGCGAGGCTGTCCGTCTGCGCATAGGCGCCACAGGAACCGATCTCATGGTCGTGACGGACATCATTGAGCAAGTCCTTGTCAACCCGCCCACCACCAAAGTCATTGCCATAGGCGACGTCTACAGCTACGCCACGTTGGATGCTCCAGACGCGAACCTTCCCCCCAAACCACCCCAACAGAACAACAACATCCCATCGCGCATGGTCCACGACATGGTATGGCGAAACCGCATGCTCGTACCCCTCACCCGCACCGCAGCGTGGTGGAAGCTCATCCAGCCAGCCTACAAGATAGACATCGACGACATCAAAGGCCGTTGGTACGAGACAAGTCTCGTCTTCCAAGAGCCTTTTGCCAAAGCAGTCAAGAACGGCGAGGGCGGAAACGGTATCTGGATGAACTCGCGTGGCGACGCAACAGGCAAGGGCAAAGGAGCCAGTGTGGCGCAACCGGACCGCATCGGTGCTTTTGGAGCTTCCGTGCCCAAAGGGACCCGCGTTGTCGAGGGCCTGGATCCTCCCAGTCAGCCTATGGGTCAACAACAGCAGTCGCATGATGGGATGGATATTAATATGGGTGGCGGTAATATGGCGGACCCTTTTTCTATCGACGAGTTTATGCATGTTGATCATTTGGGCGACGATGCGGGGATGGAGTATGGCGGTAACAACAACTACACTTTTTAGTGGAAGTGTTTTCGCTTCGTAGCGGAAGGCATAGCATGGCGTTATGGGCATGGGGAAATTTTTCTTACCCCCAAAAGCATTTTGGGACAGGGTATAGGCATTGTTTCTATTCGTATGGGAGATACCCAGGTCGTTGTTCGACTATGTAAACTATCGCTAGCTCGGTGACTGCAGGTATTGAATGTAGTACAGCCCATGCTGAACAAAGCGCGAGCCGACAACAAGCCTATGCACATGACTCATTCAACCACAAGATACTTACCTGAAACCTTCAAGGGCGCCCCTGCTGTTGTGAATGAATTCCGTTTACGACGATGTAGTCATGGGTCATACGCGCGAACACTCAGCATCAGCCTTCATTGATCGTTGTAGCATAGAAACACGTGCGACTTCCCAAGCATAACTCGGTATTCTCAAAGGATTAACAGGCAAAACTACTTGGATCGATCATGTCTACCACACCAGAAGTAGCAGAGCAGTGGCAGCCGCCAACCGAGTCACTAGGCAGAGTTCCTTTGGTGACTCGGGGAACAAGCCATGGTAGACGCATCGAAGGCGATTTCCCACTCGATCAGGTCGTCATAGACAGTATGTATCATACATCTCACTGCGTAATATACCTAGATAGCTACTAATCATGAGCAGAACTACCTCCCGGCACTAAGGTCCACAGCTGCAACCGACACGGCGCATCAGAATGGACAGTCACCGCAAGAATAGACACCACACGCGTAGACAAAAAACCAGAGTCGTACTTCCTGAAGGTAATTACAACCCCCTGTCGACAACAAGGTACCCTGGTAGCAACGCAGCTAACGCTCATGAAGTGCGCAGACGGCGACCAAGGCAAAGCCATGCTCGAAGGCGAATACCACTCCATGTGTGCCCTCTACAAAGCCGCACCAACCTTCGTTCCCGAGCCCCTTGCATACGGCCAACTCAACGTATCAAACCCCGCCTCCTACTTCTTCCTCTGCTCCTTCCTAGACATGGACACCAACCAACCCCCCGACCCAGAACAACTATGCAAGAAACTCACCACACTCCACCTCTCCAGCGCGTCACCAACTGGCCAATTCGGTTTCCACATGAACATCTGTCAAGGCAACCTACCCCAGCAAACAGCCTGGCAAGACACTTGGAAAGATTTCTTCATTCAGCTCCTCACCGGCGCTATGGAACTCAACCACTCCATCAACGGGCCCTGGAAAGACCTGCAAGAATGCACCGATCGCCTAATCACACACGTCGTACCCGCCCTCCTCAACCCGCTCACATCCAACGGCCGCACCATAAAACCCAGCTTAATCCACGGCGACCTCTGGGACGGCAACATCGGCACCGACACCACGACTGGAGAAATCTACGCCTTCGACGCTTGTGCATACTACGCGCACCACGAGATGGAAATTGCGATTTGGCGCGGTGATCCTAGTAAGATTTTGGGTCGGCAGGAGTATACGGATGCGTATGTGGGGATTATGGGGAAGAGTGAGCCGGTGGAGGGGTTTGAGGATAGAGGCAGGCTTTACTGTGCTTATATGAACTTGCATGCGAGTGCTTGTCATGGGGGAGATGGGTTTAGAGAGAAGTAAGTTGGTGTTGGAGGGAGGGATGTGAGGGCTTGTTGCTGACTTGATGGGTTATAGATCTTATGGGATTATGAAGGAGTTGATTGGGAGATACGGGGAGTAGGATGGAGGGCAGGGGGATGTGCGCGAGGGAGGTGGGGAGGACACATGTTTGGTTTGTGTAAAGATTCATCCTCGGGCAAGTTGTATGTCTTTTTTGGTACAAGGTACTACTACTACTGCGTCTATTCCAGCCCGTTTGGTATACGGTATAATTGCGAATAGCTCCAGGGCTTTGATGTTGCCGAGGTGTTCGCTGGGGTGTCCGGTGTGCCACCGCAGTACCGTAATTGTGTGTGGAGGCTCAGTCCGAATCAGGATCAGTCGGTAGTCTGAGTCAAATACGCGCTCTAGTGTTTGTGCTGTGTGTCTTTTGTAGTGTGGCACGAGGGTTGTAAAGTTTGTGCACAGACCGCCCGGCTGGTGTGTTATCCGATGTCTTGGCGTCGGACTTTCTCCCGATGTCTTTCCACTGAGTCCTTCCCCAATATCTTTGCACCAAGTTCTTCCCCGATATCTTTGCATCGGCGGCATGTCTTTGCATACGTACCAAACGCCCTGACTTTTGTCCAGTGACTTCCTCAGCTGTCTGGCGGTGTTGTTTGGGGTATCTCCTGATGTCTTCGCATCGGAGGTCCTCGCCGATGTCTTTGCATCAGCTTTTTCTCATCTGCTTTCCGCCTCCGCATCAACGACGCGTTCGACGCGTTGCTATACGAGTCTTTCATATGTACCGGAAGAGTCTCTGCTGTTGTGCAGCGTGGCGACTCTGGTGGCGTGTGTCGCTGCTGCCAGTGGGATGAAGTACCCAATGCCTCCGGTCTCAACTTGCTACATCTGCATGTAGCTGCTTCAGTTGCAGGTTCATCCTCCCACTCCACCGATTTCAATGTTCGCAATTCGTCAATTTGCTACCTGGTCTCTCAGGTCTCGTCGTCGGTCGTTTCGTCATCAACCATGATGACGTCTTCTCGGTAATCTCGCTTCATCCAGACCTGTGGAAATATCAGTACTCGGTATCGACTATCTTAGAGGGGTCAACACTCACGCTGTGGTCCTCTACAGGCATGTCGGAAAACATATCTTTGACAAACCTGTGACCCGGAAGCGCGTCGAATGATCGGGCACGTCGCTTACGGCCTACCTCTGCCCTTGCGCGAGGCCTCTTCCTTGGGCTTTGCGATTGCTTCTGGTCTCCCCTGTCCTCCTTGGCCGTGCCATATGCGCTATCATTGCTGTCGTTGGGCGCCACCCAAGGAACATTCCCATCGATCTTCCTCCGCTTGCTTGAGTACGCTTTGGAGGGCTGAACTTCCCAAGTGTCGACATTTTCGTCTATCTTCTTCCGTTTGCTTGAGTCCCCCCTTGTGGAATGGCTCTCCCAAGGATCGACGTTCACTTTCGATGTCGCGAATTTGAACTCCGAAGGCTGCATGATTTCTGGGCCCTCAGGCATCTGCAGCCACTCCTTCACCACTTCGTGATCACGAGTATCGCTCATATATCCAGTGTCTTCTGGATCCGGACCTTCACCCGCCACTGAAAGGAAGCCAGACTCCTGGTCCCATGAGTTGCAGTCGTGGACCCCTGCTTCTTTCGCCTCAAGTCGGGCTTTCTTCAGCCATTCTTCCCCTACCGTCAAGTAGTAACGGAGGTGTCCCCCCGTTTTGAGGAAGGCTGCACCGAATCTCTGTTCTGCATCCGCTCTACTCAAGTGTGGGTTGCTCGAGCAGAAATTATCCAGCTTTTCATCAAACGTCTTGTAGTGCTGTTCGAACTTTTCTTTCCTCTCCCAATAACTCTTCTCACATCGCTCGAGCTTCTTGATGGCCTGCTCAATCCTATCCCACTCTTCTTTGGAACTTTTGACATACGGATCTTGGTGGGGAAGTGCTTCTCCGGTCTCTTGTTCGATTCCGACTTCTTGCACTTCATGGACTGTCCGACCATCAGCATCGCCATCATTTCCTGGTTCAGCCATACCCTGCACCTCTTGCGGGTCCTCGAAGTGGATAGCAGAATAACTCGTTATGATGGATGGCGAGCCACCCCTGTCTTCCACTAGCGGGTCCAACGATACATCTTGGTTGTCAGCAGTGATGTTGATGGACTGGCTCTCGGCTTGCTGATCAAGACAGCCATCGTCGAGAACAATGCTACGGACGTCGGGTTGCGAGGCCTCTACAGGCTGGGTACGGATGGGAGAGTTGCCGCTTTCGATTCTTTGGGCGGCGCCTGGCGAATTGTTCGACTGAACATTGTTCACTTCTGGTATGTTACTGTCTTGCTGTATCAGGGCTTGTCCGTGCTCCTGTATCTGGTTCACCACTTCTTCCTGGGCGATATTATGCCCATGCTGCTCTGATATGATAGGATCACCCTTCTCTTTTGGCAAAAGAAACGTTTTCTGAAGCTCCATCACGACTTCAGCAAATAAGCAAAGATTCTTATCGCGTTCCTTCGTAAGCGATTTGACCAATCTTTGCATCTCTCGTTTGGTCTTCATCGCTGCGTCGCGCTCGCGCAAGAAGACCTTCAGGCAACGTTGCTGGGCTTTCGTTTCTCCGCTGCCACTTCGATGTTGCATCCGATTATTTATCCTCTCGATAGCCGCCTCTTTGCATTGGATAGTCGACTGGGCGTCTTTTTCGTTCAACTTCACCATCGCGATATCCGCTTTGATCGAGTCCGACTTGGACCGGAGCTCCAGCATTGTTTCGTATTTGCTTCTTCCAGACTGGACGGAGGTGATCAGAAGCTGGGTAGGCAATGACGACATGTCGATTTTAGATAAGATTGATCGTCCTCCAGCGCCATCACTGGTACGTCCATTATCGCGGGGAATGTTGCCTTCGCAGTGACGGAGGAGAGGAACATAGCCCGCTACCGCCCTGTACAGGCTTATCGCGGTCTTTAAAACACCCTGAGTGGTAGACATGTTCAGGAGTTTGTGGTATAATGTAAGCCGGATGTCGAGTAAAAGCGTCAATCGTCAAATTACGAAAGCCGCCACGTTTGGATGTCTTGTTCTCGACGAGTTTGATATTAAGGCAAGAAAGTTGTTGTAGGACCGACGATTACGGAGAGAGTGCGCAGATTCGACTACGCAAAATACTTTAAAGGCTAAGTGAGCGTGGAATGTGCGCGGTGTCCCTCCGCCGCCCTATTCACTATGCAACGCCAAGAATTCGCTCATAGGTAAGCTGTTGCCATTTCCGAGAGCGACACGATACCACACGACCGAAGTAGCTCCAGCGATACCCCCTAGTACATGAACACAGCGGGCTAACTGTTTGCCATATCAGCGCAGAATCCTACACTGCGGAAGTCCAATATCCAGCGCCGACCAATCTAAGCGCTCGCTACTTCAGGCGGCTCTACCAGCGGCGTACATCCTCTCTCAGAACTTTGTCACGACGTCTGCATCGCAATCGCGCATCGACAGTCAAGCGCACCAATGATGTTATCTGCACGAGAAGTCTCTGGGCCTGAACAAACCGGCGGGCCCCGGCGGAGAGAATCCGAGAAAACACGATGGAACAATCACGCCCCTGTCGACAAGGATAATTACAAGAGGGGTACAATCGTGAACTTCCCTCATGTAGTCCTTTGCGAAGCGAATGACCCCAATGCTGTCCAGACGCAGTTTGGCTGGTTTTGTTTCAAAACGAGATACGGTATCGTTATCGACAACACCACCGAGCTTGAGGTCCTGAAGCTCGGCACTTCCGGAGGACGCGGACCGTTATCGAAGCCCATACAAGTCCGCGTGGATTGCTTCGGTCTCAAGAAAGCAGAAGATGCAGAATACTACTGCTGGGACGAAGAGCTGGGCAGTAAGGTCGCGTGCACCCCAGAAAAAGGCGTCTATGACATAGAAATAGGTTGCCCATACCAACCCAAGACGGGCGCCTTTGGAAATGTCTTAGACGTTATTCCCCTCCCACATGACTCCCGTATCGAAGTGCGCGGAGAGATTAGGGAAGACGTCCTCAACGCGATTCTTAAGAAGCGCAATCGAAGGCTTCTACAGAAACAAAGCAGGAGCACCCCCAAAGACATGTGGATTGAGGAATTGGAGGCACGTCTGAACAAGGACAAGCATGCTCAGCAAGATGCAGATGACAAGGCCCGCCCAGAGCAGATGAAGCAAGATCAGCAGTCCAGTCGAAATCGCCAACAGAGTGCTCAACTCCAGGTATGTCTTCGAGTATTAGGTAGTTCTCGAGATCAAAGCTAACAATGTTCTAGGACCAAGGCCTACAAGGACGAAGTGTTCATGGAGTCTCTCGGCGCCGAGCTCCTGACAGTGACACTACGATGAGGACGGCCCCTACCAAGCGCGCAAAGACCGATATCAGCATGCTCACACCCGCCCTCGCGATTCGAGACAGCAGCCAGGCCGAAGCAATCAATGGGCAGCGCAACAGTTCACGATGGCGCGGCCCGTCTTGCCAGCTTCCGCCTGACCGCTTTAACGGAGCTCGACGCTTTACAGGATCTGGTAGCAACGACGGTAGCAACCGCCCCCCGCAAAATGCTCCACGACGGCCACGCCAAGGCACCTCACGCTCTAGTCGACGGTCCTCTGGGAGCCATGGTAACATCATTGAGGACCAGGCGCGAGCCAATGGACGTCCAGAGCCGGCCCCAGGCAACCATGACCGAAGCACCGAGACCCGGCGTCGGCGCAACAGCGGTACTGATGATCAGTTTGTTAATGACGGCTAGATAGCATGGCTAAGTCCTACAGAGTGTCTTGATATTCCTGGCCTCGAGCAACACAAAGGTCAGGAGAAAGCGGAATCTTTTCGTTACACAGAGTTGAGATTCCTGGCTCTGGAGCTATGAGAGATTCCATGCGATACCTATCCAGGGCGCTATATACCCATCAAATCTATGTCCACACGGTCGCTATCCTGACTTATGTGTACGACCCGCTGACCTGCTTTGACTTTGGTACTCAGGGTCCCTTCAGTCACTGCACTGCTATCTACTTAACCTGCTCCTGCAGCTACTAGCCTCATAAGGCCTAGCGCTTTCTACAGCGACTCACTGTTCATTGGACACAGTCTCTATCATGCAAGCCACACACGTCTGCACAGCCCACGCAGTCAGCAACACGTTGGCACGCGCATCTTCCCCGCTTACATTGTTTTACTTCCTTGTCGCGATCACCACAAACCTCACATAGTCCCCAGGTCCTCCCAAGGCTTGATCGTACGCCGAGTCTACTTTGTCTGCTGCATGGTATCTTGGTAGGTGATATGGCTGATTGCCGCATACATGACACGCACTAACATGTTAGGCCGAGGCGCAAGGCAGCCGTTGAGCGAACATGTCTTCCGCAGCCAACTCGGCGTTTGACGAATACCAATACCAGCCACTAGACTATTCGACACAGCAAATACGACTTGTCACGCTTCTGGATCCGCTGGAGAACGACGATGCTATACGTCTCGACATCGAAGTCTTCGAAATCTCGGAAGCCCCGCCATACACAGCCTTGTCCTATGTTTGGGGTCCACCATCAAACAATGCTGTCTACATCGCGGAGGGAAGACTGGAGATCCGAGACAATCTCTTTAAATTTCTCACTGAGTTCCGGAAGTGCCGCGACAAGACGCTCTCAGATCAATATCTTTGGATTGACCAGCTGTGTATTGATCAGTCGGATGCTGTTGAGCGCAACCACCAAGTGCAGATGATGAGTGATATATACAGCAAAGCTACGTCAGTCATTGCTTGGTTGGGAGATGGTTCCCAAAAGGCCAGCCCTTCGACTGCCATTGCTAAACGTGGATGCGACAAGTTCAAGAACATGTACGACGCTGCATGTGTATGGAAGGATGCCGGAGAACCAGTGGCATTAGCTTATATCCTCCACAATGGATATTTCAGAAGACTTTGGATTGTACAAGAGTTCTTACTGGCAAGGCAGATTAGGGTCCTTGTGAAAGGCGTCTGGCTGGTGAATGACACACGTGGATGGGGGTTTCGATTTGAAACCCTCGATCACTATCTCCGGCACTCCGTGCCCGCCCAAGCGTATCAGATTATCTGCAAGAGTTCTTTGGGAAGAATCGGTGGATTTATACATCTCGACATACGCGCCGCACTGCACGATTATGTTGGACTCGATTGTGCAGATCCGCGCGACAGAATCTACGGCTTACTTGGCCTAGTGCGTCCTGATCAACGTGTCACCGTCGATTATGGGAAGTCGACTGATCAACTTTTGATTGACGTGATCCTAGTCGCGTTTCAAGCTCAAAGCACCAAGAAAGCAGCAATATCACAAGCATATCAGGATCAGGTTTTCTTGGTGCTATACATGACTGTTTACATGATGCACATCTCAAGGCCTCAGGGAACGGAGTTTCGTAAGTCTCTTTTCGAATTCTTGAAAATCTCGCAAAGTAACAGACTGGGACGCTTTCGTGGTCGTGCCTGTCCGATCATCGCAATAGGCCTTGAACGAGCCGCAATGACTGGTTGTGAGGAAGATCGATTTTGGTTTGACTTCCAAGGAACACGACATTTTATTTACTGCACAAAAAATAGACCGATGATGACGGATGAGACAAGACGATTGTTGGAGGAGGATTGGGAGAAGTATGTGCCTCGAGAGCATGGAGATGAGACGTCGTAACTGTGCGTGCATGTTCATCTTGCAAAAGCAAGTCGGGCATACTCTTGACAGGCCATCGACGGTCTATGATGGCCTACAATTCTATTTATGTTCTGGTTAAGAGCTGACTAGTGCGACACCCGTAGGTGAAGTGTCAGGTCTACGCATCAACATGACAGCGATACTGCAAATTTTGCCGTAATTTGACCTAAAATTCCATTGTGTAATCTTGGAGCGGTGTGCTTGCGCTGTGATCATAATGCTTTGCTGGCCACCTTTCTTTCACTGTAGTCAAAGCGGTTACATAACGTCCTCTGCCACTTTCCTCCTCATTATGCAACCCATTGACCGCTGCATACTAAAGACCAACATCGATATCCAACATCCCAGAAATCTATAACAGCGCAGAAGTAGCAATGAACATGTCTCAACGACCAAACATCGAGCTTTCCGGCATCGCGCCCCAACGCACAGGCGTCCCCGCCGATCACATCGACCCCAACCACCCCTACTTCCCTCACGACGACGAGGCGCAACTCCCGCCTCGCCCATTCTACAAACGACACTCATTTTTCACCAAGAAGAGGTTTCTAATTCCCACCTGCACGACACTCATCACAGCCCTACTCATCGCCGCCCTACTCGGCGGCATCAAGATCGGCCTATCAAGATGTCCTCACGAGCTACCTCCCGTTTACCAAACGACTACTATTACATCTATGTTAGTACATTCCACGGCAGACCCAACGACTATAACAACGACGGTGCGCACAACGCCTACAAAGACGGTACCGTTTGAGGCGCCGGTTCGACAGACGCCGGTGAAGCCGATGAAGCCTGTGGAGACGGTGTGTAGTGAGAAGGGGAGTTGGCCGACGGTGGAGGAGTGTAGGGGTAATTGCTTCGCGGATGGAAAGTTGGAGCGGAAGATGTGTGTACCGTGGACTGGGGGATTTACGTGTAGGATTTGCTCGTCTGCGCATGCGTAGGCTGAGCGGTTTGGTAGTATGAGACAGTGAATCTAGCAAATCATGTGTTTTTTTCTATAACCGCTTCACTTCATCATAAGACGTTTAAAGCAATTACGCGATAAGCCTTCGCCTCGTGAGCCTTCGCAGTGTCGATTTGGTGTGCTTATTTGGACTCGATTTGAACGCTGATATCTCAAGAACGCGTCGCTATAAGGTGCGCCTTGACTTCAGCGAGTTGTTTTTCGAGAGTACGAGACCGGAGACAATTGAAGGCATCGATTCGAGGAGGTATTTCAGCGTATCTACGTACGGTAACTAGACTAGTCGATAGTGAATGGGCGTATAACATGATATCTCCCATCCACCCACTCTAGTCATCGGCGCAAACATACAATGCAGTGTGGATCATCTGAACATATATCAGATGGTTTTTGAACATTGCGTATCCTCATGGCTAGCCGGCGCGTCGATAACACGCCCAGAAACTTCTTCCAGGCGAACGATTAGAATCGCCCTAATACATCAGTGACTGCGTAATTTCTCGGACGCGAAGCACCAGAAGTGAATGAGCCTTTTGAGGCCTTTTCCTGCAGGCAGTGACGCGCGCACAGTCCCAACTTGTTAAGCCTTGTTTCGAAGTCTTGAGTTTTCCCCTTCCTTGGCGTATATCTTGCTCATTTCTCTCCACGACCAAGCGCGACACCGTAACCACAGCTTGAGACCTCCACTTTCTAAATTGAAGTAACTTGATCATAGCAACCCATTCGATCTGGCGCGCGCTCGGGATTGTAACGCGTGATATCTGCGCATCTGACTTCGCGACTATACCCGGCAAACATAGTCGACGTCGCGCCGTAAGTTTTAACGCTATCGACTTCTGGACGCGATGACAGCGCTGCAACCTTTTGAATCGTCTCATCTGTCCAATCCGACGTTTGAAGCGCATTGACTAACACATTTCTTTGAAGGGTTTCTCCACCATTCGCCACGATTCTGCTCATTCAGCGCATACCCCCACGCATCCCAATACATACCTTGTACGCACCCGATAAACCTACACAAGCGGACAAAGACGCAGGAAGATGTCGCCCCACCTGATCGGTAGCCTGGCCCGCGGGGTTCCCAGCGCGGATGAGATGCCAACACCCCAGAGCAAGATCAAGATCAAGATGCCCGTCAGCAGCCCACCGGAACACCTTTCGGGTGCCGAATCCATCCCAGTTGATGAAGATAGCGATGGCGAACTGTCGGACGACCCTGCACCATACTCCGGTCGAGAGCTAGTCAACAAGGAGCTCACATCGAAAGAGACGTTCGCGCCCCACGACACCGACCCCACCAAGATCGAGGCGACTTTCAAGATCCAAATGCCCGACGGCAAGAGCTGGTTCATACAGAAGAACATAATCCCAGAGAAGCGCGAATCCGCCGACCGTGACTTGTACGAAGCCGATGACTGCATCTTCTTCCCTGACCTCGAGAGCTGCAAGGTTCCCAAGAAGGACAAGGAGAAGAAGAACAATCCCGTGGTAGAATGGAACAAGGTCAGCGAGAACCGTTGGGAGCGGACCTTCAAGGGCATCAATGAGGTCTTCACCCCGAGCATCGCACTCCGCCGCTTCAATGCCCGTACCCGCGCATACGAACACGTCCACGTTGGCCAGTCGAAACTCACCAACATCGATCCCAACGACAAGAAATGGAAAGACGCATACAACAAGTGGATTGACCAGATCTCGCGCCGGTCCAACGCTGCCTACGAGAAGAAGAAGAACCGTGACCACTGGACCGTCCCAGAGATCTGCGCCATGTACACTGGCATCAACGACTTCGTTCACACCAAGGGTTTTGACGCGTACGACACCATTACCACCGCCGACTTGTCCAAGATCGTTGAAGCCATCAACAAGGCTGGTGGGAAGAACCGTGGTCTGGACGCTCTCCGAGGACAGATCACGTCCGCTCATGAGACGAAGAACAAGACGATGGCGTATCTTCGTGAGCACGCCCGAGACTTTCGACTGCTGGTTGAAGGTGGCGGCGTAGTGAGCAAAGAGGAGCGGTACCCTAAACACATGATCCCTCTGTCAGAGTTTCCAGTTGAGAAGCGCGCCAATCATCGAAAGGGCACCGGTAAGCCCAAGACATACAAGCCCAAGTTCCGGTCTGTGAACACACAGACTGGCGATGACATTGTGGTTCACGAAGACTACGACGGTGCCGGCATTACTTCGACTGCAAGCAAAATCTCCAAGAAACGCAAGCGCGATGCTCCGTCATCCGACGGCGATGAAGTCGAGGATCAGACTGAGCTTCCTGCTGACGAAAGTGACGAAGAGGAAGTCGAGCATGGCTACGGAAGCGACGCTGGCGAATCCTCAGACGAGGAGGTGGGAAACGGCGATGAGCCCGAGTACATGGAGAAGGCAGATGATGTGAAGAGTCTCAAGGCCGTGAAGGAAGAAGACGCGAAAGAGCCTGAGGACGTGAAGGCCGAGGTCGTGCAGGCAGCAGACGTGGACGCCGATGCCCTTCCGCCAGCCAAGAAGCCACGTGTGACTGACCACGCCATTGAGCTCGCCCGCCAGCTGCTCGAGGATGATTCTGATGAGTAGCTGTCAGATACAACTGCCACGGCCCTGATCAGGGCAACGGCCCGATGCTGGTGCAGCGAAGACGCGGTAAAAGTTCCATGTGCGCGTTGAGATTGGTGGAAGTTATAAACGACGTTGTCAATCATTGACTGAACGCACAGCAACAAAGCGACTTAACTAATAGCGACTGTTGGCACTGAACATACGCATGGGTAGCATATGTAAGCGTAGAATGGATGGAAGCAAAACCCGGTGTGACCCCCGTGCGTGACTATACATGCCGCTCGAGTGACACGATGCTGCTGATGGTGAGAGACATGATAGTTTGCCAATATCTGAAGTGAGCGTTGAGTGAGAAAGATGAAGGATGATAAGAAGTCGGGACTGACGAGGAGAACGTGTATGGCGATGGCATGTCGCAGCGTCGCACGATGGAAGGCACGATCTGTGGCATTGCGCTGAATTTGTAGACAAAGAGAGGTTCATGATGCTAGCCAACAAGCTGTAGCCGGTTTGATCAGGGGACTCTGATATACTTGATGGCACGGATGAAGATGATGAGCGTTGATGGCGAGCGAATCGGTAGGTGAGAATGAAAGGAGGTGCGAAGATCGATACGGCAGGCGCGACAAACCTGCCCCGCAGCATCGCCCACAAAAGCACACTAACCGCAGAGCCTTCCCCCACCAAAGGAAACTTGACGCGACATCCCGCCTCATTGCAATTTTTGCGTAAATCTCAAGACTTGCGTTCGCGAAAAGAGCGAAAGTCACTCCAGAAAGCATGTCAGACACTGAATCGGACACCGCGAGCTCGGTCGGCAGCATCGTCGAAGACGCAAGCGAGCCGGATACGACTACTTTCAAAGATCTATTTTCGGATCGACAATGGACTCGTGTGTCGGACATGGTAGAGCACAACAAAACCGAAAATGGATTTGATCTGCCGGCAACGATCAAAGGACTTGGACCAGGTACGGCTGACAATGTTGAACGCTCATCTACACGTTCTACGCCTTACCCTTTTCGGATGACTACTGACTGTCTGCACTAGACGCGGACGAGATCACCATCATCAAGCTGATCAACTACCTCCGATCAGAAGCACAAAAAGGCACAGATCCCAAGAGTATCAAAGTAACTCTAGACGATCTTACAAGCGACAAATACCTACAGCCAGTATTGGAAGATGACGCCTTACTCTTTGAACTTGGAGATCTCATGCCAGATGACGACAGCAAGGCCATCGACTACGACGAGTATGAAGCGAAGATGCACAAGGACATGCAAGAAGACTTCTCCAAGATCAAGCTCACCAACGATCGGGACCAGGACTACTTCGAGTCGTACAAGGGCAACAGCATCCATCGTGAGATGATCGAGGATCGCGTACGAACAGAAGGGTACCGTGACTTCATCGAGAAGAATGCCGAGGTCTTTGCTGGAAAGACTGTGCTTGACGTTGGATGCGGTACTGGTATCCTCTCCCTCTTCTGCGCACGCGCAGGCGCGAAAAAGGTGTTCGCAGTCGACAACTCTGGCATCGCAGTCCGCGCGAAGGAGATCATCGCGAAGAACGGGTACCAGGACCGTATTGAACTGATCCAAGGCCGCGCTGAAGACTTCAATACCCAGCGGTTGATAGGCAAGGAGAAGGTCGACATCATCATCTCGGAATGGATGGGCTACGGTCTCCTCTTCGAAGGCATGTTGGATTCGGTCCTGCGCGCACGGGATATGTACCTCAAGCCTGACGGCATCATGGTACCATCCCACTGCAACATCCGCCTCGCACCAATCTCAGATGCCGACTGGATAGCAGACAGCACGAGTGAGAAGTTCTGGAAAGACATTTATGGCTTCGACTTTTCACCCATGATCCCAGGCGGTCTGCTCAATACACACGAAATTGGTGTCTTTGACGTGCCCGAGAAGGCGCTCTGCGGCACTGCGACAAGCCATCTGCTGGAGATGAAGACTGTATCGGTGCAAGATCTGAGCTTCAAGGTGCCTCTTCGCATGACACTCGACCGCGACATCACATCTCTTCAGGCCATTGCGATATGGTTTGACACGATCTTCATTCACCCTGGCAGCTCCCAGGATGTCAAGACGCTTGACAACGTTGACTGGGGTATGAACGGTATCCCGGGCTTGGGCTTCTCGACGGGTCCAAGCAACACACCTACACATTGGCATCAGGCAGTACTGCTGCTCGATCCAGAGGTCGCAGACAAGCAAGCATACAAGAAGGGTACGGTATTGGAGGGAAGCCTGACGTATGCGAAGGAGAAGGGCGATGATCGCGGTATTACCGTGACGGTGGAGTGGAAAGGTAAGGGTGAGCAGGGTGAAGTTGAAGGAAAGGTACAGAGAACGATGGCCTAAGCCATGCGCGAGTATGAACGAGGATAGATGTAGACACCAGATACCACAAAGACGCGTCTATGTAGCTTAAGCGCGACACGTCGATGCCGGGCCGACATTTCTGATTTCGCGCTAGTGTTCCGATTCCGAAATGCACGCGGAAGGCTGGCAGGAACCCCGAGGCGTCGACAATGCATCTTGACTCCGCGCAACACCCCATCTGTTGCAATAGGGCGATTTATGCGCTTCCCCACCCGTTCCATTCGCTTGCAGCAATAGCTGTGCCGCATCTCTTCTCCACGATTGCCGATGTCCGAGGTGACGACATACCACGTGGATCGTGCGCGTGAGCTTCAACATTCTAGGAACCCTAGGTGTCGCATCCCGTACCGCGAGACACCGGAAGCTTAATATACGCCCACACGTACTACTGTCGACTGGACGCTACTTGACATTCAGCGACTGCCTAATAATGCGCAATCAACGGTAGCCGAGCTCGATAACTTCTATGCGCGGTATCCTTCCTGGGCGACCCCAGGCTAAGCTCCAAGCTGTCGCTCATGGCCTGTGGGAAGGCCTCCAGATAATCGTATGACTACACCCTTTGCGACGCGCACAAAGACTGACTTGCGCTTCGTGTAGGTCTACATCTCCGGTAACGCGCTGATCATCCTCGATCGACCCAACCACGTCCTCCAAACCATCTACATCGACGAGGAATTCGACCTTGAGGCAGTCGCGATCGACGAGGGCACCGGCAAGCTCGCGGCATGTTCGACGCGACACATATACATATACCGGCCATACGGGCAAGATGAAGGCGCGATCAAGGTGGGCACACAAAGAGGGGCAGCTAGGAACGACTGCTGATATGCGCAGTGGTCGCAACAGGGCAGCACGTCCCTGTCTGACGCCGATGACACGATAACGACTCTTTCATGGGGCATGCCAGATGAATTGCTCGTCGGCAGCGCATCCCTCACCCTCTTCAACACCCACAGCGACATCGAACGGATATGGACAAAGCAGCTAGCGAACCCCGTCAAGTTCGCGCACTTCTCGCCCGATGCCGAGTTAATAGCTTCGACGGGCAGGTACGACCGCCTCCTCAAGATATGGCGACGCACATCCTTCGGTTCGGCGGATCAGAGCTTCGACTACTTCTACCTCCCACACCCCAAGGCCATCACAGGCTTGCATTGGCGGCACCCGTACCACAAAGACCAGTCCACGGACAACGTACTATACACAATATGCGCGGACCAGAAGGTGCGAGTCTGGGTACCAGGAGAGCATCACGGCGTAGATGGCATGCACATGTGGGCCGAGGTGGACCTCGTCGAGTCTATAATGTCACGCCATGTACCACTGGAGCAACAGTCGAAGAAGCGATATGCCTTCTTCATCGACGGCAAACACTTTACGCACGCGACGGAAAGAGCGATGCAACAGGCTTCGGCAGAAGAGAAAGACCACGGCATCGCGCTGCATCACCTGATAGAAGTCGCGAACCGCAACCCGGAGATATGCGTTGTGCTGGATGATAGAGGCAACATGTCTGCGTGGGGTTTTGAGAACGTAGGGGCAAAACAGAAGAAGGTCACCGACGTCTTCAATATTGCGCATGTCGATGGACTGCATCTGCACTTCGCCAAGGAACCAAAGCCCATTGAGGACAATGTACAATTCTACGCATTCATCGGCGACAAACCCGACTCCGAGTTGACCCTGCTATCGCATCACTTTGACGGGCGCATCGAGTGGCTAGAGTCGCGCATCGACTATCTGTTCGACCCTTCTTCACAGCCACAGCGCATTCAGCGCAAGGCTATGTGGACGGGACACTCGCATGCCATCAAGAAGGTCAACCGCACAGCTAGCGGAAGAGCATTGGTATCGCGGACCACGACAGATGAATGCATTGTATGGCTACAGCGGCAGAGCGATCAGGGCATGACGTTACATCGACACTGCAGCGTCAAAGTGACGGAGCACATCCATCGTACTGCTCTTTTACAAGAGGGTAACTTCATTGTCTTCCTACATCATGACGAGATCTCGCTTTGGGATACCCGTGGTCATGAAGCCGTTGAGATGACACGGCTCGCATACAAACTCCAAGGCAAACCTCTGTGTCTGCTAGTGATACCCGAGGTCGAAGTTGGCGGACAGCGCATACACATCGCCACTATTAGTTCCGAGATGAAAGGCATCTGCTGGGAGGTCACACTACCAAAACCGGAGCGAGATGCATCTGCGGGTGAGGAACAGCCCGTCATCACGCAAACCAATGGCTATATCAACGGTCATTCAGAGATCACTCTCAAAGAGTTCTCCACATTCAACCTTGGGTCTGGCGACGACCTTGCCTTTGTACTGCCTGTAGACCCCGCTGGCACAGCACCCGTCATCTCGGGTTTCCTCGACACCTTTGCGCGAGACATAGCCATCTCATACACGAAATCCGGAATCATCAAGTCCTGGACTGCGCGCGTCAACGTCGAAGACCGAAGACTGGACTGGCTGTTGACTTCAGAGGTCGAGACTGGCGTCAAGAATCCATCACTTGCTAGTGGCACGTCGATACGTAAGGCTGCGTTGGCCGATGCTGATCGAACTACGCTCACTATATGGAATACCCGAAGCGCCCAGTTGGAACATGAAGAGACATTCGAAGGCAGCGGAATCATCCAGGATCTCGACTGGTCTTCTACTCCCGACAACCAGTCCATACTTGCTGTTGGCTTCCCCCACCGTGTCGTCATCTACGCCCAGCTGCGATACGATTACCTCAATGCCGGTCCATCCTGGGTACAGATCAGTGACGTGCGCATTCGCGACATCACGCCACATCCGATCGGCGATTCAGTATGGCTAAGCAGTGGTAATCTGGTCATTGGTGCAGGCAACCAGCTGTTCATTCAAGATGAGCATGTCCAGGTGTCCGAAGGGCTATTTCCTAGCTTACGTACCATCTCACGGAAGACAGCATCTATCGACATATTCGATGCGGTTAGTAGACTCAACGGTCCTCTACCTGCGTACCATCCCCAATTACTCTCACAATGCGTCTTGGCCGGCAAGTTACTACTGGTGCAGCGTATCCTGATTAGGCTTTACACTACACTCAAATTTTGGATCGAAGGCGAAGAGCTTGACAGCTCGCTGGGATTCGCACCTGAAGACTTCTCAGAAGCTGAGGCATGTACACGAACAGCTCTATCTAGATGTAGCTAACCTTTGCAGACTCAAATGACTGCATCTCGAAAAGAGGTGCATTCATCATACGCCGATTTCTCTGACGATAGCGAGCCTGAAGCAGTCACCGAAGAAGTCACCTCTAGCCTCAAAGAGCTTCTGACTACTAAGCGGATACCGCTCTTGACCAGTCGCGAACAGTTTCGCTTGGCCGATATCATCGAGTGTATTGGAATGGTAGAGAAGCATCGTCGATCCATTGACGATAACGCTGGCCGCTTCTTGCTATTCTTCCGACAACATGTCCTCAGTGAAACGCACAAGGGCCCCATCTCGTGGCGCGAGATTATCTGGGCGTTCCACTCAGGAAGTCAAGATATCCTTGTCGACCTTGTTAGCAGACATTTTAGCGGAAAGATGATGTGGCAACACGCAAAAGAGTGTGGAGTGTTCATGTGGATGTCCGACATCAACGCATTGGTACAGTACACTCTTCCTTGTCGGTAGAAAATGCTAACGGTATCTACAGCGCGCCCAATTTGAGGTCATCGCTCGGAACGAGTACACGAAAACCGACGAAAAGAACCCCGTCGACTGCGCCCTATACTACATGGCCCTCCGGAAGAAGCCAGTTCTAGTCGGTCTTTGGCGAATGGCTACTTGGTCGAGAGAACAGGGCGCGACCCATCGACTACTATCGAACAACTTTAACGAAGACCGCTGGAAGACCGCTGCTCTCAAGAACGCGTATGCATTGATGGGCAGGAGAAGATTCGAGTATGCTGCGTCGTTCTTCCTACTTGCAGATCATCTACAAGACGCTGTCAGCGTTCTCCATAATCAGCTTGGTGATACCCAGCTCGCAATAGCAGTCGCCCGCGTCTACGGTGGTGACGACTCGCCCATCTTGCTGGACTTCTTGAGAGACAAGATTCTGCCCCAAGCTGCTAGAGAGGGCAACCGATGGCTCGCAACATGGGCATACTGGCTATTGAACAAAAAGGATATGGCCGTCCGCTCGCTAGTCACACCACTGACGACCCTACTTGAGACCACCGAACCGCCCAGTTCAGCCGCTAAATCGTACCTCACCGACGACCCCGCCCTGGTAGTCCTGTACAAACAACTCCGCGAGAAGTCGCTTCAAACATTACGTGGAGCCACAATGATAGGCATGCGCGAAGAGTGGGACTTTGTGCTACACACAGCTGGGCTATACGACCGCATGGGCTGCGACGTCCTAGCCCTCGATCTAGTCAAGACATGGGAGTTCCTACTGCCACCACCACCAACAAAAGCAACGTCCGGCCGTCCACCGCTAAGCCCCTCGATGCCACGACAAAGCTATCAATCGCAAGGAAGAAATCAATCTGCGACGGACTTCGACTTTGATCCCAGGAAATTGCTACGCAGGAGGAGCTCGCTTGTTATTGCCGATTTACCGGTACGAGAGCATGCTCATAACGATTTGGCGGAAAGCAAGGGCACGCTGGAGGAAAGTAGGGAGAGTGATGAAGAGGATGGCGAGGAGGATGGTGAAGAAGAGGGGGAGCAAGAGGATGAAGAGGATAAGAAGAATGATGAGAAGCCTAAGGAGGAGCCGAAGAAAAAACCGCCGCCGACTCAGTTCAATGAGCCGGATGCGAATAGTTTGTTGGATGCTTTCGGGTTTTAGTAGAGCTGGTTGGTTGGTAAATTGTGGTGCTTCTACGAAGGTTTCGGGATAGTGGCATGGCTGGGTGTTCTGAGCGGTACTTGGTAGGTATAATAGTTGGTGCATGTATTCTGCACGTGGCTGCCAGTATCAAATCTCAGGCCTTGTTGTTTTATTCGAGATTGACATTGTGGAAAACGATGTAGATTGTAATCACCGCTAGTACTGTCAAAGATAGGTAAACCAATGGGCATCATTACACAGTATGTCGTACTCAACAGTACTGGGACCTAGCTGGGTTACAGTTTGCCAAACGAGTGTTCCATCTCATCCCTCAATGCCATAAACTAAACAAAGAACGCAGCAGCAGCAGCAGCACCAAGTCCAGCCAACAGCGGCGCACTCCTAACCATCGGCGCGCCAGCCTCCGTCACCTCAGGCACGGGCGCAGTCCCAGATGCACCTGTCGCGTCTGTAGAAGCACCCGTAGACATAGCACTTGACATCGTCGGTGTAGCCGCAGCAGTAGCTTCCAACTTCTCCGTCCCCGCAGTGATAACAAGGTAGTAAGTCCCGAACTCTGTTCCTGAGAGCTCCCCTACGGAAGTATAACCTTCGTCAGGCGTACCACTCTCACTGCAAAAGGCTGACCGGGTACCAGTCGAGATAGCAGAGCCATAGCCATAGCTCAAAGTCTGCCTGACTGTCTCTGTACCTGCAGGCTCTGACCCGCGCGCAGGGAAGGTATGTGTTCTTGACCAGACCCTTTCACTCGTAGAAGGGTAAGTGGGGTTCTCGCAGAGTTGCCGAGCGATTTCTGGGGGGTACGACACAGTACATGTACGGTTCGACCCTACTTCTTCGGGGGTCGGCCAGGAGCAGTCGAGTGAGTAGGTGTCCTCCTCCTCATCGCCACTAGCAGCAGGGCCAATGTTGATCTTTGTTCCGTAAAAGTCGGGGCCAATGGTCAAAATCTGGGGAGTATCGGCAGCGAGGCTCAGAGCGGATGTATCGGTGCCTTCGTCGTAGTCAACAGCAACGGTGGTGTGAGTTCCGTTGGCGTCGATGACGGAGCCGACGAAACCGATGTTGTCTGTTCCTAGCCCATAGATGGGCATCCAGAAGGAGGTTGTGACTTGGGCTGATGCGCTGGCTGCGAACAGCATGGTTGAGAGGAGGGGTGCCATTGTGGTGGTGGTGGATGCAGGTGTAGTGAAAGATGATTCGTGATATGCACAACACAAACCTTTTCTTAAGAGGTGTTTACGTCCCTTTAAGCATCGTAGGGTTGTAGTAGGGCATCCTCACCGGTTAGCCAAGCCTAGGGCGCAGTATCTTGGCTTGGACGGTTACAGCGGCTATCATCTCAATGGGTTGGCGTTCTGCTCAAATGACTGGAATGTGGCGGAAAACCTTCTGTGTTGGTATACCACACATTGGCGCTGGTGGCCTGATTTACAACAGAGCCTAAGTAACTCGGGTCTCGTGTGCATTTCATGGTGATTGGCCTGCTTAGCGATGCAATTGCGGCTGTGCCTGGCTGTCACGGCTGTATAATCCGGGGGCGCGATGAGTGGAACTCGCATGGATAAACGGCAGACATCATCCGTTGTGTTAGCGATGTGGTTCAGTGACTTAACGACTAACCTGTTGTGAGGCCTCTGATCGGTGTGGCATACCAAGATCGCTTGCCTTACAAGCCAAGACCTATAGGGGGCTGTGAAAAGGTCGTCCCGTGTAACCTCGACCCGAAGCATCGCAGCAACACTCTGCTAACTTCGATGGGGCGACACAACTTTTGATGGCGACCTTTTCGTCGAATTGTGAGTGCGCCTCTTTCCCACGCGCCGTGAACCCTATCACGATTCGAACAAAGCCGTGCAATCGTAACAGCGCAGAGAATAGGGGTTGGCGAGTCTTCGAAACCCTAACAGCGAGCTGATTGGTGAGCAAAGTCACACTCGCTCGCAGCATTGAGCACTTCATGTCGGAGATGGAAGTGAGGACGTTCTCGTCAACGTCCGTGAAAATCGAACTAGCATGACACTGATAGACGAATAATGTGTGCTAGTAGCGGCGTGGTGTTCGAGAGGTTGATGAGTAGCTGTGTCATTGATTTCTGGTAGATGGTGCTCGGTAGCCCAGCAGGACTGAGCGTCACGTGATCGGAAAGTGGGTCCGCCTCGTTCGGCTTGAAGGTACCTAGGTATTGCCGAGTGCGCGTCATCGCGCCGGATTGGTAATCCATCTCAACACGCGTCGAATGAAGGCGATATAGTGTGTAACGTCGCACTTCAACACCATATACTTACCACGATGCCTTCTCAACGCGACTTAGAGGGCGGTAGCGTGCCAGACGAGCGCGCGCCCTTGCTCTCGCATGATGCCGCGCGTCAGCACACGCCCACACCATCGGAAAGCGACGAAATCATCGACCAGCCGGAAAAGGCAGCGTCCAAGACCTGGTATTATATTTGGAGAGGCATTTTTGCCGTCTTCGCGATACTGGTCATTGCTGTCTTCATCAAAGGCTGGATAGAGGCTGATGACGTCGATGTATGTTCCTCTGCACTGTCGCGGTACACACAAACTCCAAAAGCTCACAGCATGCGTAGTTCGATCTCAAAGGCGCACTAAAGCGTGCATTAGGTGGAGGTTTGAGTGGTGCTGCGGCGATGATACTGCAAGTGTTGCTGTTGATGCCCATCCGTACGATCATGAACTACCAATATCGCCACGGAACATCAACGACTGTCGCGACCAAGACTCTGTATGCAGACGGTGGTATAGGTCGATACTACCAAGGCATGGGTGCTGCACTCTTCCAGGGGCCCATCGCTCGATTCGGAGACACAGCCGCCAATGCTGGTATCCTGGCCTTGCTGCAGTCCAACGGCTTCTTGAAGCAGCTTCCATCACCCATCCAGACAATCTTTGCATCGGCGTGCGCTGCAGCTTTCAGGATGCTACTAACACCAATCGATACCTTGAAAACTACCTTACAGGCCCAGGGTGCTAGTGGCTGGGGTCTACTCCGGCAGCGCATTAGGACCGACGGCATCGGCTCTCTGTGGTGGGGTGCTTTTGCGACCGCAGCAGCGACCTTCGTTGGACATTACCCCTGGTTCGCCGTCTACAACTTCCTCTCTGAAACTATAACAGAGCCATCGAGACAGCAGATCGGATGGTGGTTACTACGGGCGGCTTTCATCGGTTTCTGCGCTTCGGTCGCTTCGGACACAATATCGAACTCGTTACGCGTTGTGAAGACATATCGACAGGTCAACGATACAAGGATATCTTATACTGAGGCTGCCAAGCAGGTCATCCGTCAAGACGGCAGATTGGGTCTATTTGGGCGCGGATTGAAGACGAGAATCATCGCCAACGGTCTGCAGGGCATTCTATTCTCCATCCTGTGGAAGCTGTTCTTGAAAATCTGGGAAGACAAGACGGGTTGAGCTCGACTGCGATTGGACCGATATATTTGAGACAAATGAATTTCGGCTTGACTACGGCAACGTGCGACTCATACGTACAACGAGACCTCTTCTTCGACGTGCAAGATCAACGCTGACATGCGTACTGGGGACAAAGGTACCGGCTTAGACATCTCCGTATCCGATACTAATCCTGATTACCTCAACTTATTCGCTTCGTCTTCTTCGCCATCGTATCCCCCGCGTCGTTCTCATCCCGCTTCCTCTTCGGTGACGGTCGCCTGCTCTTCTTCCCCTCAGCATCCAAAGCCGCATTCTTACCAACCTCAGTCGGGTCGTCAACCGCAACCGACTCATCCACCTGAAACTGCCTCAGCTCGTCCTCTGTCACGTTCGGAACAAACAAAACACCGCCTGTCTTCCCTTCTAGAACTCCTCTCATGTTCTTCCTCTCTGTGGCAACCTTGCTAACCCTGCCATCGAGCTTTCCCCGGATGGATGACACGTCGCGCTGTGGTCTGGAAGGTGCATCAGCACCGTTCGCGTCTTTGAGTACCTTGCCCTCGAAAAAGGCGTTGAACGCCTCCATCACGGAGACGGGACCTGGGAGCTTGATGACGTGGCCCGCATCGATGGTCGCGCGCAGCTTCCTGTGGAAGAGCGTCATCCAGGCGTCCTCCAGTGGTGTGTACGGGTACGCAGCCTTCTTGGTGCCGATTCCATGTTGCTTGAAAACGTCGGTGCGCCATTGTGTTATCGCGACGATCTGGGGCTTGGACTTCCAGTCGATGTCATCTTGCTCGACGTCGGTGTACGTGACGGTCTTGGACTCACCGGTCACGTTGTTATGGAGTTTGATCGTAAGCTTGTGGACCGACTTGTTGCCCGTTCGTGGGGCGTCGATGTTGCCGTCTACCACCTCCCATCCGCTAGCTTCATCTGAAGAGGAAGCAGGGCTGGAGCTTCGCTCAGCTTTAGCGTCGACCTTGAGGTTATCGCGACCCGTGTCTTTCGTCAATGTGTCTCCAGTGGCCGGCGGCTGGGCGGATGTCTTGGTAGACTTCTTTGGCGATGGCAATGACTTTCCAGGTCCCGCGGGCTTGCCAGGCGAGGAGTCGAAGACAACTTTGAGTTCCTTCTTCTTCGTCGTCTTGAGTTTGGTTTGAACACCTGTCTTCTTGTTCTCCGTCGCAGAGTCAGATTCATCCCCGCCCTCGACGTTGTTGATGTAGTTCAGGTAGCCGTTGTGCTTGAAGTACTTCTCGTCCAGTACATCGTCGGTATCCTCCAGCTCTCTTTCCAGTGTCACATTGCCGACAGGATTAGATGGGAAATCATCCCCCGAGTCTTCTTCTCCTTCGTCGGGTAAGTAGCCTTCGCGCGCTGCCGAGGGCTCGTCTGTGGGTGTCTCTTCGCTGAAGTCTTCGTCGAAGTCTGGATTGTTGATGGAACGCCATCCGGACTTCGTCTGGTAACCGGCGGGATCCCACGAGGATTTGTCTATGCCTATATCCTGGCTGGGGTTCTCGCCGAACGCTGGGTCGTTGATGGACTGCCATCCCGACGTGGTTGGGAAACCGGTAGGGTCCCACGAAGACTTGTTTATGGGTTGCCATTCTGGATTGGGAGACGCCTCCGGCTGCCGAGGGGACGACCTCATTTCCGCTGGGATCATCAGTGCCTCCAATTCCTCCAAGTCTTCATATTCGTCCGCTGTCTCATGGTCCTTCGTCTTCCGAATAGGCGTTGCCTCCTCCTGTCCACCAGTTTTGGTGGTATCGTGGTCTCGGAACTCGGGGACGTGGGTTGTAGCGCGCGGGTGTAGAAGGTTGCGGGCGATGTCAGCGTTACGCGAGGGGCGTGTAGGACTCCTGACAGTATTGTCAGTGTGGCTGAAGGCGTCAACGGAGCTACCGGCCGCGCTGTATCCTTCCCCCTCGGTGGTCTCCTTTTCAAGGTCTCCCGCAAAGGCGCGAATTCCGGTATGGGGTGGAGACGACGGCTGCTCCATGTCAAGATTCGCGGTTGGTGTCTGGTCCATGGTGTAGGTTGTGATTGTGGTTGGGGCGGAGCAGTTGTGCTGGTGGTGTGGTCTGCGGTCGGAGTAATGGGCAGTCCGAGTTGCAACAGCTGTGAAGTTGAGTGATTCAGGAGGGCCGCGGCTGGGACGATGGTGAACGAATGCGCTGGTAAGTCATGCTCTATGCGAGTAGTACGTGGTGGACACTCCTTCGTAGTTTATGTCAGCAAGCCGAACTTCTGCACGTTTATGGAAATGTATCGGAGCTAACCGTCGACCCGACTGGTGCGGAGGTTGCCCGCCAGCTTGGCACTGTTTAAATGCCGCTGCTTGCGCTTGATCTCAATTCTGATATCTTCTCGACGCGTCCGAATACAACCGCTGCACAGCGCCCCCTACGCTGTGCGTTCACACTTCGCTTATACGCACCTCCGAGCGCCGCAACCCCATCCACAGACACCCGTCATATACGCTGAACGAAAGTTCACGGACACCATGGCCCCAGCCAAGGGCGACGACGACAAATGGGCGACGGCTGAGCTCACCTCTACGCTAGCAGCCCACGTTGTCTTCCAGCGGCATAATATGGTGTTACCTCCAAGGATTCTACCAGACAATGTTGAACGCGCCATCCAAATCCTGGATCAGCACGACCCGTCAACAGCGAAAGCGGACGTCAAGGACCTCAAGCCAATTGACTACGCCGAATACACCATCAAAGATGACTTGCGGCCAATGGCTAACGCAGCTGGCATGCGCAACCTCCATCAAGAAGGAATAAAGAAAGGCAGGCTAGTTGAACTACTGACAGAGTGGGATTTACAAAATGTCCCGCTCATGGCGGTTCTGCTACCGCGCTCGGACAAGGCCATTAAATCCGCCATCCCTAAGCAGGTCGTTTCGACGCGGAAAAAAGCTGGAACGGAGCCAGCGGAGTCGAAGAAGCGCAATGCTGCGCCAATTAAGGACACAGCATCCAAGAAGCCTCGGAGCGAACCCAACGCTTCCCCAGAGGACCACGACGTCGAGACCAATGACCAAAACGAACCAAATAACGGCGGGTTCCGCTTACAACCTGCTATCGAGGGCAGCACATCACCTCGAACGTTAGCTCAGGCACGCACGCGTCTCCGCAAGCCTCGAAACGGTCAGCCGCTTGCCACCGAGACGCACCTCGAAGCAAACAACAGCATAGTCGGACTGGCGCATAAAGAGGTTGGGGAAGACGAAAGCATTAGCAAGGACGATGCATTGGCCCACAGCCGCGAAGAAGACGACAACAGGTTCGAGACTGAGGTTGAAGAGGTGCAAGTGGCAGGGTCAGAGCGACATCGTACTAAACGGCAAGCGACTAGGAGCGGGAAAGGCAAGAAGAAGAACATCAAGGCTGGCACAACGAAAGATATGCTCAACAAAGATGGCACGCTAAAGACTGCCAAACAACTTGAGGAGGAGCAGCGTCTGAAAGATGAAGAGGAGGAAAAGAAGCTGCACGAAGCGCGCTCACTAGGTCACTACTCAGACCCTATCCTCGCAAAGCAATTTCGTGTCGTGCACAAGACAGTTCGTGCTCCCCTGGACGGACACATCCGACCTGGTGTCAAGCCTGCACCTACTGATCAGCTGGGCTCATGGCGTCTGCACGAGCGTCTCATGAATCAGGCAAAAGAAGAAGGGAAAGACCTCGATCTCTGGATGGGTGGCGGAGCGTCGCCATCAAGGAATGGTTCCGAAGAGGATATCTACGAAGAATGGTAGGGCATGATATTGGCATGGATGGATGGGCACACTAGTGTCGGGCGATAGCAAGCGAATACTTCACGTCAGGATGCTTTGTGTCGTGTCGCAGAGTCTTCAAACCCTTTGTTCAGGAACGGCGACGCAGGGATGATGAATACGACATATCCCTTTTGTACTCTACAAAAGCGCTCAAAACAAAGAACTTAGCATGAAATATCAGTCTCGTTCATCTAAACAACTACAGTTTCGTCACGTTATCCTACTGAAAGCTTCTGAAGTCTCCCAGTTGCTCTATTTCTTATCGTATATCCCTTCCAGAGCTCTACCCCTCTTCTTGATTGACGATGCCACCCAAAAGTGCAGAAGTTGATCCTGATGTCGCGAGCAGCGCAGAAGAGTTACCACACGACCAAAGCGACACAACTTCCAATAGACCGAATCTAAGAGCAAAGAGAACACCAGCACCACTGTTGCAGAGCGGTGATACGACCTCCAACACCAGGAGAGCGGGGCGGAGCAACGGTCCTAGATCTACAGACAGTCTCAATGAGTCCCAGCATATTTACCAGGACTTGGAAGCACAGAGAGAAGAACTCTCGCGAAATCTGAAAGAGACGAAGGAAGAAGCCGAGATACCCAGGTTCGAGGAGCACCTCACAAACCGAGCTCGAGCGCAAGACATCAATGACAGAAATCGGATAGCTCTCGTTCGTGTGGCCAACAAGGCGGTAGGCGGGCAAGAGAAATTCGACCGTGTTGTACGCCGAGAGGCCCATGCCGCACGAAAACATGCGACTGCCTTGTATGAAGACTTTCTCTATTATCAAACGCCTGAATATCGTTCTCAGTATCTCCAAGACATTGATAAGGTGAAAGACCGAATACAGCAGTCCATACGGGATGGGCAGCCACCTGGGCTACTTTCAGGAGACGATGCTTACGATAAATTCCTACGTCCAATTCTCAAATCGTTGGAAGATGATAAAGTGGGTCAAACGGAGACACTCGATTACAACAACATGGGCCCACATCACCTACATGTCAGGATACCAAGGGCAAAGAGTCAAGCTGTGGGATTAGGTAGACCGCGATTTCCGCCACTCGATCCGCCGATCAATTTGAAACTTGATGTCGATGCCATTGAGAAGAGAAGGAAGAAAGTGGAAGATGAAAATAAGGATGAAGAGATGGACGAGTCACACTCAGAACGTCGAGCACGAGAGACTGGGCTTTCGGAAGGACTACCGACAGATAGTCATGTTAATGACGCATTAGCAACAGCGAATGATCTTAGCAGGACGCGACTGGAGAGTGGCCTGTTCATTTCAGCGGGCGAGACATGGAACGACTGGGAGACTTCCGACGAGCGAGATGCACCGAATGAGCTTTACGACCCGCCGACCGAGGAGGAGATGCCAGATGATGACAGCGACTCTAGTGACGACGAAAACGACTTGTTTGCAATCAGTTACCGCGAATGCAGTGGTTTGGCAGGTTGTCCCCGTGGTGGCGGCGGTGGTGGTGGTAGCGATGACAATGATAGTGATGATGATGGCAATAGTGAAAAGGGGGAAAAGAAAGACACCAATGATCCAGGAGCACCAGCCAACCCTGCTGGTGGGCCGCGAACTGGGTCCGAACCTCGACCTCAATCGCCAAGAAAGAAAGCGAAAAAACATGACTACACGCAATACAATCGCCCACAAGTCCGTACAGCTTTGAAGTATCGAGAGCAAGCTCAGAGTGCTCAGTATGTTACGGAGCTCCACAAGCGTGCTAATGATTATGACGACAACCCGAAACAACCTGGTACTATTCATCACTATATCCTGAAGGATCGGAGTGTCGCAAATCGTCTTGAGAAAAGGATTACTGAACTGGGTGAAGGTTGGTCGACTGAATATAAAAAAGAACTCGATGAGCAGAATAAGAATGGCGAACAAGTAGATACTGACGTATCCGAAGAGAACTCTCCCGCGTCAACCGGGAAGGGGAAAGCTAAGAAGACATCTAAATCTAAGGCAAAGAAGACGCAGCCAAAACGCAAGAGCAAGAAGTAGAACCCTTAGCTTATCTCTTCGATATTTGGCGAAAAGGACGACAAGAAGGAGCGTGGGCGTGTAGGTGCAAGCTTGGACTGGGGTGACAGCCGGTGCATGGCATGGAGATGCATGCGATGCTCTTCTCGCGCTCGATCTCGCAGTCTGCTAGAATAGACCAAACTTAGTATAGTTCTCACAATTTCAGCACGTTGTGCTTCTTCATAGCGCGCGCTTTGCTTTGAGCAATCAGTTTGGTGTGAGTCGCGAAAGCAACTTATATATTCCTTGACTGTTGACTTACTGCCGTGTGCGACTTAATATTCTAGTTCCCTTCTATTCTATCTATAGTACTGCGATAACGCAGAGCAAGATAAGCTACTTATAACTTCTAAAATATACAACTACTATATACGCAAAAAGTACTTCTTATTAAATAAGAGACATCGCAATCCTTAAAGTCTAAGCAATCAGTTCGAGACATGGACTACGCCAAGAGCCGAGTAAAGCTCAAGTCCTGTTGTATCTGACTGCCGCAGTGTTCCACGACGCTGCAGCTCGTTTGGAAGCTGATACAGAGCAGAGGGTTTCGTGGCTCACACTGTTGTCGAACATACTGTTGTCGAACATTGATTGATGACGTACCCCCAATCCGGTTAGGGTTGCGCTGTGTAGGGTCAGAGCGGGACGTCGCACGTGAGGGACGCTTCACCTCCAGGGTTGCTCGCAGCATGGTCACTCACCCTGGGATACAGGCTCGGCAACTTCCATCGTAAGCGTATCATTGGCGCGACTCGCGTGCCGTTCCGCATACGACGCGACCCCAGTCACGATCCTTGGCGCACACCTCCGCAGCCCATCTCGCTCCGACCGCACGACCCCACCGCACCAAGACAGCGCCTACAGAAAGACAGCCGGCAGCGCGCGATACTGCACACGATGGCGGACGACTACGAGAATTGGCCGGTGAACATCAGTTCGGGCAATAAGCCAGCCCTTCGACCGACGCTCAAGAAAGCCGACGACACACTTACAAATTTCAACGGTATATCGAAGGATGCCCTTGTGGGGATCTTGTTGGACTTTGATATCAGAAACTATCCGCTGTCTCTGAGCGACCCTAATATCAAGGACAAAGTGACCGCCGCACAGAAGGCTAAGTTGAAAGAAGAGGTGAATAGGCAGAAGGAGATCGCGAAGCTAAATAAGAAGCTGGAGGAAGAGGAACAGAAGGCAGAGCGAGAGAAGAAGCGTAGCGCGAACGCAGCAGCAAGGTCTGAATTAGAACAGAAGAAAGAGACGACCGCGGTGAGGCCTGCGAAGAGCAAGGCCAGCGCTCAAGAAGATGAAGCTACCCTGGTCGACGGCGAAGCAGCGGATCGAGATCAAGACGGAGATGTGCGTATGGCGGGAGATGAGGATGCGGCGGAGGCACCACCATTAGTCGATCCGACGGCGGAGGCGGTCTCTAGTCCTGTCGACGGCGAACGCAAGCGCAAGCGTACTGCCACAGTGAGTCCATCTGACACCAAACGGACACGTACCACCCGACCGAAGACATCGTTGATCGTGAAGTTGAAGTTGAAGTTGTCGACTACGGATGGAGTGGCGACTGGCGGCATGCAGACTGCGACACAAGTAAGTGAGACCGAGTGCGACAAGATCATGGCTCTTGCTAACGACAATGCTCAGGGTCTTGGTGCTCGTAAGCGTCCTAGACAGACTGCTGGAGACACGTGCACAGCCAACACCCGGCGCACCCTTAAGAAGCCAGCTTCGAGGCTACAGCATGGCGTGGCATCTCCTCTTGAGCTCGCAAAACCCATGGAAGGCGGCAAGAACAACCCTGACGACACTGTCGCTCAAGAATTGGGCGTTGTATCCGGCAGCGCCGTGCCCGCCAACGCACCCGGGCAGCTGCCACTTCGTCGCCAACCGGCCCGTATGGCCAGGGAAAGGGACGTTCCAGTTGACGACACGTTGGAGGAGACCGAAGAAGCATCCGAAGGAGATCCGAAAGACAACGTGGCTAGACCCAATGCCGATCGAAAGCTTACCCCTGCTGAGCTTGCTCAAGTGGAGCAATTGGATCCAAACTGGCCAAAGGATGAGCATGGCTACCCGAAGGTCTTTGGATGGAACGGTATTAACATGGTTAATTACCTTCACAGAGAGACAGAGGAGGAAGAGAGGGAGGTACCGTACAACTTCCTGAACGGACCAGAGCGTATGCTTCGAGTTCAGAGGCAGACAAAGCGGTTGATCGAGAAGCGCAAGGAGGAGGCCAAGGCCAGGGGCGAAGAGTACGTACCAGAGAAGAGGGTGGAAGAGTATGACTGGACTAAGCATATGTAGATGCTTCATCGGGAATGCGGTCTTGAAATGAGGAGTTCGGGGGAACCGAGGCATACGGATGTTCTTTGTTTTCGCATGCAGTAGAGTGGCCGCCAAAGGGGCCAGTCACTGCCGGCTTCGGTAATAGAGACAATGAAAAGCTGTCCTACAGAACTCTTTGTCGCGAGACCAGTTAAAGTGGAAAGAACAGCTGTGCTCGCAACACCTGAAGTCTTCGCATTCTGCGCTCAGCCGGCCACTGCCAAAACATTCTCTGGTCCAGTGTGTACAGAGTGAGGAAACACCGCTGACCGTGAGAGAGTGCTTCATCAGCTTCCAAATCATGCCTCCCAAAAAGGGGGGTCAAGAGAATGGAGGGGACGAAAAGAGAAAAAGAGACGGAAAGAAGTCTGATAACATCAAGTTCAACGGCATCAACATGGCCAAGCTCAAAAGCGATCTGGGGGGAGCAAGAACAAACCAGGAGACGGTGAGAAAGCAGATTGAAGAGTTGTTGCCGCAGTATCTTGGGTTGTCCGCAGGCGAACGCGCTGGGTTTCTAAAGAATAAGGGCAAGGTATTCAAAAAGCTAACCAGGAACAACGCCGCAGCACGCTTGACTAGATTGCAATCAGAGCTTGAGGACTTCCTATATTATCAGAACACGGTAAACAGACGGTTGAGGTTTAATCCGGACCGACCAACAGCTGTGCAGAAAGAGGATGGACGTAGACTCAACATGCCACCAATGCTGATAAATTCTCATGGAGACGACCCTCGAAAGGTCCAGTACCTTCGTAACATGCTGGAGTACTATGACCGGAGAAAGATTGGAACGGGACTGTCCAGGTACCGTGAAGCGAACATCGAAACTGGAGAGGTAGACGACGGGACTGGCGCGCCGCCAATTCTGGTGGAACCTGAGGACCTTCATCTTATTACTCCGATGTGGAGACGTGCACCTGGAGGCCTTCGAGAAGAGGAAGTACGTCTAGCCCTGGAGCAAGCCGCACGAGACCCGATACAATTTCGGGTGAATGAAGACGCTATAGAGGCTCGTCGCGCAGAGTTCGAGAATATCGTTGACGACGATGCAGACCTAGAGTACAGGACGCACACGGAAAGACGTGCGGCCGAGCTTGAGGCTTACGCAGACACCAGACCAAGTACGGCCAACATCTTTGTCAGGACTAACGCGGAGGGCGGTCAAATCGACGAAGATAGGTTTCGCAGAATCCAGACAGCGTCAGGAGTCTTCGTTGCCGCGCGAGAATCATCCCATGATTGGCTTACATCGTACGACTGCTTGGGATTGGTGAAGATCAGTGGTATCCCAGAGCACTTCGAGACCAGTGCTGTCCGCGATGAAGATCGTTTCTACGATTCGCCTGACGAAGACGAGGATTTCGATGCGCCGTTTGACCCGCCCAGTGATGAGATGGAAGGCGGTAACGATGGGGAACATGAAGAGGGTGTTGGGCCAGCGAATGACGGTGCTAGTGAGGATCTCGAAGACGACGGAGGCGATGATCTGCCCGTTGATGGAGATGGCGAAGCCCCTCAGGCCACAGCCATGAGCGGAGAGGAGCCTGATGATACCGGTCGGCAGCTGAGAAATGGGAAACAGCTAAGCAGCTCACCGATGCCAAAGGCGAAGCGGGTGCAAAGAAAGACAGGTGGTGCTCAAGCTGACACAGTGAGTAAGGGCGCCGGCAATGATGCAGGGCCAGCGAAGGGTTTAAAGAAGAAAGGCGCGAGCAAGCCTGCTCCTGGGAACGGTACCAAGGGGTCAACAGAGGACGAAAGCCGGGAAAGGGTCACAGCTAGCATCGACTATCCATACAACAAGCGGGAGTTTTGTCTTCCGAAGAGAACTCGTTGGGTCGCGGACGGCCGGCTACTGTCAACGGTGTGGGCGGAGGCAACAGACGGTAGACGAGAGAGACATGTCGGCATGATTAAAAGACCCTACTCTCCAGTGAACTCACCTCCTCATTCACCTATCGACCCAGATGCAGTGGACATATCCACAATACCTGACGGGAACGGTGTGCCGAACGAACCCAAGCTACGCAGGTGCAAGCATGGCAACGCAATTTGTCGTGCGTGGTGGCCGCACGCGACGGATGAGTGTTGGTCACTCCATGAAGAGTCAACCTCCTTGCCAACTAATCGAATGGAAATCGACGCACCAGTCATGCTCGATGTCCCCGAAGGAAGTCGTAAGACGTATCATGGCCGGCTACATGATCACTACGGTCGGAGGATTCGAGGTAAAGCGACATGGCCCCGAATAGGTATCAGAGTGCCGTATGAGCCCACTACACTCTACACTCACCCCACTAAGAGTGTTAAGCACATAAGTGCGCCTCTCCAAGGATGGCGTTCTCTTGCGGTGCCGGTCATAGAAAAGGCGCTGCATGAGAAGAACCAGTGGAACTCGGACCCAGACCCAACGGACAGCGGCGACGAGTACGACGAAGGCGACGAGGGTGAATCCGACGACGAAGATGATCTTTTCCGCACGTCGTACGAGCAAGGTTCCTTTCCAAACGGCCGGCCTGCGCCTGTTATACCACCGACGATGGCCCCGGGTACCACCGCCCCAGCCGATACAGCTCCAGCAAGTGCTGCTACTGAAGCTATCGCGCCTGCAGAGGATGACGAAGTGGGTGATGATGCAGAGAATCTGTAGACCACAGTACTACCAGATGCCATCGAGCCATCGATAGGTAAGCATCGGTATCGGCCCATGCTCCTTCGTTGAAGCAACAGGTATGATTCGCGACAAAATGGAGTTTGTATGTGGAGGAGGGAGTGGTGTCATTTCGGCTTTCGTTCGTTGGTGGGCGGAGGGACGCGTCGTCTTCGCGTTATCTAGGTAGGCATGATCTCTCTACCAGGGAGGGAGAGGACGGGTCGAAACTGTATTCGTAGCGCGAGGTGACTCCAATAGAGGTCGTTCGGGTTCGCAGCATCGTGACATCAGGCCATCGTTGACGTTTGCCGGCGGACGTGTAGCAATGAAGTTTGCCCAGGTGCCCTTCGATGTTCAGGAGCCATGTTCGTGATTAGTAATCGATGTGCGTCATAGCTCAAGCTACCCAGCGGAACCCCATCCCTCCCATCTTCTGTCTTTCGCGCTCGAGCCTGAGTGATCTTTTGGCAAGGGAAAATTCCGATCCTGTATATTGGGAGAGGGAGATTTGGTAACGGTGGTTTGCCAGATTAGTCTAAAGTGGTCGTGTCCATACACACTCATGGTAAACCCGCTATCCCTCCCTGACGCAGCCTCCCAGTATCGACCACCACGCACGGGAGCATCGACAGCATGTCCGGATCGACATTCGAGCAATTCAACTGAATTACCTGACAATATAATGTGATGTTAGGGTTCGATGCAACTATCAATGCCCCGTGGCAGAGTCAGTCCTACCTATTTGAATGGGCCTTAACACCAGGACTCAGATTTGCCAATTTACACTTGTGGATTCATTATTATCGAAGTGTTCGAGGTATTTATTACTACAAGAAAGTCTTATCGATTTGCGCATACATTACGCGCGGGACAAACAGTCGACCATCACGCTCACTGTATTGAGGTGGCCGTTGCGACTACGCACAACTCAGGACATGGCTGGAGTGTCAAGCAAACGCAGTGTTTCCCGAACCTTTCATCGCAGTCCGACTGAATCAAAGATACAAACACAGCTCCTCAATCTACACCCACATACTCCTCGAAGATATCCTCTCCTCTCCTTCAGGGTACTTTGGGTCCTCTCCTAAATACTCCATCCTGTTCTCTCGGTAACGCTTCCCACTACTACCCTGCTCCAGATTCCAACATCTCTCAATCTCTTCCCACACATCTTTAGCTCGGCGACCTATCTTGGGAGCCAGGATCCTGGCTTCGGCTATAGTAGGTGGAGCTTTCGGGTCAGCGGTCTGTCTGCTATCTAGCCAATATAGATACGCATGGCGGGCTGATACCAACTCGCCAACTCGCCAAGCCTTCGGATCCCGCGATGCTAGACCTGGGTGCATAAAGATCTGATATGTCTCATTTAGGCGAGGGTTGGATTGGAGGCAGATGGGATCGTTTTGTGGCTGGCGGAAACCGAGGAACGTGATGATCTGTGGGTCGTTGATGAGGAGGAATTCGACTGGCCCGTTATCCATACTTGCTGCTACTTGGGTGACCTGGTTGTTGTTGTTGTCGCGATGTACGCACATAGCAACGATGATAGCACTTGGGTAATAGTCGGCTTGGATTTCTTGGACCTTTGTCATGGGAAAAGCTTCGAAATCATGGATTCGTACAACTGTGCAGGTACCGGGGGTATGCCTTTCGCATGCGACACCTGCAGAAGTGATTGGAGCAGGTGGTGGTATCGGCGATGAGGGTGGAGGCGAAAGTGCTGTCTTTGGGTTGGCATGTTCGATCGTGACAGGTTGGAGGTTTCTTGCTAGAGGTAAGTCTTCCATATGGACATCTGGGTCTTGTGCGACCTCGAATCTGTCTTCTCTTTGCAGCGCACCCTGGGCAGCCGCATTCTCTTCCATCATCTTCTCGGGAGCGCTATGAGTTCCAACATCGTGGTGTGCTTCATCGACCTTCTCCGCCTCTTCTTTCTCCTCTACCAAGTCCTCGATCAACGGCAGCTTGTACGACAACCTCTCTTCTCGATGATCATGCGCAGTCGCAAACTCATTATACACCCTAGTTACCTCGCCGTTCCCTAGCCTCTGGAGAATATCCTTGATTCTCTGCGTCCACAATGCCAGCAAGTGCTTCTTCTGTCCGCCTCTGGTGAGAATCAAGCGCATAGTGTTGATGAGCTCGTGGGCTACGGCTTCGGGCATGATAGCGAAGAGCCGAGGTTCAAAGACGGTAAGACTGCTCGACGTCGTGGGTGGCCTCTTCCGTCTGTATGTCTTGGGAGTCTGCATCGCATTTGTCTCAGGCGCGGTGGTGTTGAGCGGTGGGGTAGGCGCTGGTGTGAAGAATTGCTGAGGGTCTGGCGTGTCGCTTTGAATTTTGGTGCCTTCGCTGCGCATACTGGTCTTGGAATATTGATGTTTCAAGTTTTACTAGAAAATTCGTTGAGATGTGATGTTATTGATGGTCGCCTGGTCGGCGTTTGCGCGCAGAGTTGTTTTGTTTTGTCTCACTTTCGCTTGCGCTCTCACTCGCGACCTCCAAAACGAGAGAAAACATTGAAAGGACTATACACAGTACCAATAATTAGTCCAACTTCTGCAACGGATGGAATCAATAAGTGATTTACCCCCATGCATTCAGGCAGCACTATAGAAGTCAAACTAGCGACATCGTTATCGCGTTTCGCATCACATGAATTTGGGTCGCTTGCCGCCTCCACAGACGGTTGCACGAGCAGTTTGATGAAAGTAACAAAAGCACCTTTGCATTGGTTTACTACTGTATCAAGATCTCCCAACTCTTTCCAATCATACTCCTTCACTACACATTACCATACAGGCCCCGCCATCAAAATCTGTTTGCCAGACATCTTTGCTCCAAGTCCACCTCAACTAATACCGTGCTGCGCCTTCACCTGCGCTTCATACTCTGCAATAGCCCCATTGATCTCATCGACCATCTTCTCCCTTCTCAAAGCATCCGCTTCCGTCTCTGGGTCCTGAAGATCTGGCACGGGCTTACCTGTGACATTCTTGAGGGCTTGTTTGGCGACAGCAACATTCCGAAAGTCCTCATCAAACCCATCTTGAGCAGCAAGAAGCTCCTTCCGTGCCTCTTCGGTGATGACCTCAAGCTGTGCAACGAGATTACGCGGCTGTTGCGTGGCGCGAGCGGCTGCCATACGCATCGTAGCCATTCGCTCCCTTAGTCGAACGCCATACAACGCATTGCGACATGCTTGGAGCCTGACTCTGGCGTCCGCGAGGGTGCACTCTTCGGGACTGGAATCGCTACTGGTAGTCGCGGAGACCAGCAGAGCACGCAGTTCGTCGGATGACTGCGGACGCGCTCGCTCGAGAGCCTGGAGTCGCGTCATCTCACGCAAGTCCTCGAAAGGCATGTTGAAGAAGTGGACGCCAGTTTCCGTTCGTTTGTCGGCTGCACGCCAGTACAAGGGGCCAGGTGTTGTTCTTCCAACTGTGAGGTCAACTGCCAGGGGGCTATTGATCTCAGCAGCGATACCTTCCTCTTCTGGTATCAAGCCTGGTGAAGCATGGTGATTGACTTGGAGATTTGCGTCGTCATGGCCAAACCCAGAAGTAGTGACACTAGCTTGCGAGTCATCGACATCCACCATTTGAACGTCCTGGTCGGATACTGGCTGCTTTTCCCGGTCACCAGCATCGTGCGCATCCGTGTCCTTTTTGGTCGACACTCGTCTATCATAAGTCTTGAGCCGTTCTAGAATGAAGCTGGTGTCGACAACGTTCTCCATCGCCACCAGATCCCCTTCCCCGCCGCTCCTAATGACATCACTGACCGGTTCGTGCTTTCTGTTGTCACCGGCGTGCCCTTGAGGTATTGCGTCTCCGGTAATCTCTTTGCCCGGATCAGCTACCGCAGTATCGGGGGTGTGTTCGACCGAAACATCATGGGAGATGTCGTCTTCTCGAAGTGAGAGAGGTTCTGCGCTCTCCTCTTTCGCACTGTGACTCGCCGTAAGGCTGTTCGATCCGGTAGCTGGGACCCATACCTCAAAGCCGTACTTATTTACACTCTTTACCATAGGAGTAGTTGGTCCAGCTTCCTGTCCACCAGCCTTCTTCCGATGCGAACGTCTTGTTGGAGTTTCGGTCGTACTGCCCTTCTTTCCATCGCGTCCTCCCTTCTCACGCATTTGAGGCTGGAAGTGTTTATCCCGGAGGTGATCGACAATTTGTTGAGTGCTTTGACCTTGTGGCGCACGACTGTTCACGGAAGTCGGTATGCGCTCAGTGGAAGATTTTATGACTGTCTTGGCCCTGATAGTCTTGTGTCGCTTCGGTTTCGGTTCGCCGAAGTTTGTACCAGGCAAAATTGTTTCACTGTTGTCGGGCTCATGCTTCTTAGCTGCTTGCTTCGGTTCTTTGTCAAAAGACCTTGCTGCCGGGACGCTGCTCTCACTTCCCATATCTGTGACTTTCCTATCGGTGATAGCAAATTCCGATGCAGACGTGCGAGGCCTCTTAGTCGAAGAGATAGGATTGGTGGCGGCCGGTGGAGAAAGTGATCGGTGGGGTGCTTTGGGTACCGTTGGTTTCCTTTGCGACGAGCTTTCACGCACCGACTTCCAACCTGAGAGTCTAAACTTCAGAGGTTTTTGAGTTGACGAGAGGCAGAAAGGTCATGATCAGTACACAAGTGTGTACTGTAAGACTGGGAGCATGTAAGAGGACGAGCAATGTCGATGAGTTCCAAGAACCTTTGGTCATAGCGGCTCGACATCGAAGTAGTGAATTTGCGTGCGGAAAATTTTCTGCACAGCCGATGCGGGCCGTAACAATATTGGATTCATCTCATGCATCGCAAGATGTCGTGAGCATTGTAAGCGGTCTTCGTCGCCGTCAGGCGTCTTCGAAGTCCACGTTTCGCTGGGAAAGAGGCGACGACACCTGCTCATGACGAGCATCCTGAGGTATCAATGTAGTTGTCAGATGGGCGGGCTTGGAAGTATATCCCCGAAGTTAACTGGGGATGCGCGGTTGTGGTTGCGGTGTTGTTGTGAGGAGAGATGACGTCATCATCCCCGAAACTAGCGCCGATGTCGCGTGCGCGACACGCGTGCTTGGACCCTGAACCACCAAACTTCACGACATCCGAAGAGGACCGTTGCATTCATCTGTGAACAACAGACACTTGTAACTTCACTTTCGTGGATACAGATTTTCGCACAGGACTGTTAGTGGATCGTAGTTACACGCCTAAGTTCTAAGCATACGGTTATACGAAGTCATCCTGGCGCGCGTTGCTCAGCACATCGAAGATTCATACCACTCTTGAGTATTCTCTTCAGCGCAGACATTCTACCCTTCAGCTCACAATTAGTGTCATACGCAAAGCTTTCTTGACCCCCTATCAAGTCTCAATACCATGAACCCGCGCCAAATTGCCTCGTCCCACCTCAGGCCCACGCAACCCTCCTAGCCCCGACGCACCCTCTTCTTCCTCTCGAACATCGCTTTCCGCTCCTCCGCATCCATTACACCAGTTCCTGCCGGTTTATACATGGGCATGGCGGTCTTCACGCCAGACTCCATCCATCGTGCCCATCGGTTGTGCAAGTCCACAATGCCGTGATTACGCACGAAGACCTCGAGGTCGTTAATCACTGCTTGCTCTGCGGTAGCATCCTTTTCTTCCTCAGCAGCTCGACGACGTGTCCACACGAGATGCATATACTCCTGACGCTCAGCGTCTGTCGTCAAGATCTGGCCCATTTCTTCCATAACATGTCGTAGACTCGGTCCGGCGGTACCAGTGGTGATGATAGTCGTCGGCCAGATCGGAACCCCAGTCTTTCGAAGCTTTGACTTGGGGGGCTGGGTATTGGCTTCAACCGGAGTGGGCTTGGCAGGTCGCTTTCCAAGCTGCTTCTGAGATGGTCGTGAGACTTTCTTCAGGGTACCTTGCGAGCGCTTGCCCTTTACAGGGAGAGACTCCCCAAAGTCTCCGTCTTCTTTGTCATCGTCGGCCTCTTCGCTGCTGTCTTCGAAGTCTTCGCTGTCCTCTTCAGGCTCTTTTTCCGACCGGTTCTCGACTTGTCCCTCTATACCTCCCTCGTCATCTATACCCGAGAGACCAAAGAGCTCAGGATCTCCATCTCCTTCATTATCATCCTCCAAACGGGATGAGCCTAAGAAATCCGATGGGCCCGCCTCCGTGGCCTGAGCAGCCTCGATCTCGGCCTGGCGACGCCGGACCAAGGCTGCAAGGTCTTCAGACCCGGGCTTGCGTGTTCCGGTCGATGTAGAGTCGCCAGCAGTCTGGCCCGCAACCTCTTCCTCTGCATCGCTCCAATGCCCTTCGACGTCCTCTGGCTGTAGTAGTGTATGACCACCGATACGCATAGGACGTGTCATCGTTGTCGGGGCGGACAGAAATGCCTGGTTTGGAACGCGACGGGAATCCTTGGAAGCTGGTGCGCCAGGGAGTACGAACTGATGCCTCGGTGGGGTGCCCTGTGGGGTCGTCGATGGTTGTAGAGTCGTTGGCGTCGTCGATGGCGGCGGTACGTATACTGCTCGTTGACGTCCAGAAATCGGGTTCTTTGGCGTTGTTGCTAGACGTCTAAGACGTTCAGCTTATTAGAGGTCAGTGATTGCTATTACGAGGGGACTGACTTCAGGGGCGATGCGCAAACGAACAAATAGTAAAGAACGCAATTGCTTACCATTATCAGCTTGAGCAGCAAGCTCGTCCTGCTTCTGCATCGCACGCATAGTCACAGCTGCTCGCCTGTTCAGCTCTTCAAGTCCCGCATGGCGCCCCCATACAAGTCGACAGGTTTTCCAAGCTTTCCTTATCATCTGGAGGTCCTCATCGGTGTCCTCTTCACCCATGTTGTCCGGCATTGGGCCAGCAGGTTCCAACTTCCAGATCGGTATCATCATGGGAAGCTGCGTGAAACTGATGACTATTTTTCCCTCCTTCTCAACAAACATGCGAAGGATATCGGAGTTCTCGATGAGAATGGTGTCGGTGTCAATGTTGCCGGTGCATGACATCACAACCCTGATGACGTTCGTGGTGAAACCCTCGGACGGTGGGCTCTTAGCGATCCTGGTGATTGTAGCGGTCGCACTGTGAACGTGCACAGGGCCATGTTGCTTGTCAATGTTCATGTCGGGGAAAGGCGTTTCTACCGGAACCTCCTGAGTGGACATGGTTACTGTTGTACGGGCAGCGTAGAGCAAAGATGGCTGCACGAACGAGTGGTAAGAATTGATAGCGGTCTTTGGACTACATGGGGGCCAGTGCTCCAATGTATGGTGGGGTGGTGGAGAGATTGCTCTCGCACCGTCAAGTGTAAGGTGGTTTGCGTCTTTCATTGAGTACCCTGCACACTTTTTTGGGTCGTAGAGCACTTGATGATCTGTTCAGGAACTAGCAACATCGGTACCTGGAGTCCCAGGGGTCATGAGCGCTTCGCACTTCATACTCGCATCATCCCCGGATACAGTCCCGTCTAATGGTGTGACTTATTCATCGCTTGCGCTATCGACCGCCAGCAAACAGACACTGTTTCTCGACATCACCCTTCACAACGCCGTCAATCGAGGTCATTCCATGAGCATGCGCGATTCCACGAGCTTCTTTCAGCTACCACAACCCAGCGAAGACTAAGCAAAGCGTGTCCAAATGATCAGCTTGACGTTGCGCGGTTTCACCGAAATGGAATACACTCAACAGCCGAAAGTCTTCCGGCCCAGCTGGTACACCATCCCAGCGATCTTTTCCACGATTCAGTCGTACGCTTCGGTAGTGGAGTGGTTCTACTATCTGACCTTTATCTCGCACATACTATGCAAGTCTGACTCGGCCCATATAGCCAAAGCCCACCTCATCTCCTTTCTGCGCGCTCGTCCACACATCCAGATGTGGCACGAAGCTTTGCTCTCCGAGATGTACGACGAGGACGAACCAAACCTACCGTCGGTACTGGAAGGTACGAATCTCTTGCATCCCTTGATACAGGAATTTCACGAGTATTGCACGCAGAGATTCTCGTTGATGACGAGAGGGGATGTCTTCGTTGCGCGATGCGTGGTAATTGACTTCATCTACAGGCGCTTGGACAAGGCGCAGAAGGCAGCTGAGCTGGCGAAAGATGCGCAGACCAGGAAAGTGCTGGAAGAGCAGGTTGTGGCTGTGCAGCAGCGCGAGCAGGCCCGACGAGCTTTCGAGGCTTCTTGTCTCCGCTTTGGTAGTATCGGGAAAGATGTGCCTGCTGCCGGTCAAATTGGTGTTCTCGATCTTGCCGCTCTCTTAGCTGTGTTGTCGTTGCAATCGCCCTTTGATCTACCCGTCACGCCCGAACCTGGGTTTGCTGCAACTGTAGCGCCTGTTCAGTAGGTATCATGGCTGAAGGGTCTTGCGCGCAGTTTGGCTCAGCTTGCAGTAGAGGTCACTCCATCCTACACTCACTTGGCAGCGTAGTCCTGTTGTACGACAAACTTTGGCACAACTGCGTGCGCAATCATTAACTACCTTTGATGTTTTGCTCGTATAGAACAATAGAATGAGGTTAGACAATGAGACCGAACAAGCAATAGTCAACTCATCACAAGGTAAGTGCAAGTATTTAACGGACTGGCGAATTACCTTCTCTTTTGCTTCGCAAATTCCTTCTATACTTATATATATATTGCATTTAAATTTCTTGCTACTTGGCTAATCAGTCAGGTGCTGCTTTTGTTCGTCACTACCGACCCGTCACACTCCTTGCCTTACAAGAAGATGAAGTTTGCGACATCTTGCTTTGAGACCTCCGCAGTCGCTCCGCGGGAGTCACGACCCTTGAGAAGCTCACTCAATTCACCGATCCGATCATTGTGGCCCTACCTTGGCGATGTGAATGAGAGCCTTCTTCGCCGCTTATATCGACCGAGAACGGTTCACGATCTGACTCTTGTTCTACTCAACCAATTTCACTCCCGAGTTCAAGGCCTATAGGCCCCTTATAAACGCCCCTTTACCCTCTACCACTTTAACCACTATCAGAAGCTTCCAACAGAACATCACATTCAACAGCCAACCGCACCGAAAACGCACGTAATCGATTGTAACGGTAAAAATGGTCGAGACAATGAACACACACACGTCCTGCTACACCAACAGTATCCTCCAAAGACTCAAGGATATCATTGGCCTTGATGACTTCCTGCTCTACGGGCACATCATCACCCGAGTCTTTCGATGCAACATCAGCGGGTCCGGCTCTTCACCAGCACTGTTTCGCATGCTGAACCCCAACTCAGATGCAATCTTCCTACACAACGAGATCGCAATCATGACGAAGACCGTGATCGAAAAATATAACCTTCCGGAATTCGAGGACGAGAAGAATGGCGTGAACTCGTCACGCTATTCCGCGAGCGCAGACGATAGCTATGGCCACCAGCTGTTTGATGTCGTAGATCATTTCGCGGGTACGGAAGGAGCGCGACCAGCTGATGCGCATACCGCGCGATCTCAGGTCATGCGTTGTGTGGAGATGGTGCAGCAGGAGCAGCAGCAGATCGAGCAGGCAGTCGACGATGTTGCGGCGGTGCTTGCATTGATGGGGGTTAATACCATGGCGACGGATGCAATGGAGTTCTGACTCAGCTTTAGGGTGCGAAGGGTGAAGACTAGAGATAACATACACGTGCCAATAGTTAAAATGCATCAGGTTATAGCAACGGGGAGACGATATATACATTGTAGTTCATCAGGTATATCTGGCATACATGGCCTTGAGGCACACAAATCATTCTTTCAGTCAATATTGATCATCACAAAGACATCTTGGGAGTGTTCAAAGAGTGTATACATGAATTGTTGAGACTTACAAGGGACCAGCCCCAGCTCACAACTAGCTAATGATCATCAAGGTGAGACTTACGGACGACCAGCGCCCAGCTCACCACCAGCACCCACAGACCGGACACCATCACACCGCATCTCCGCCGCCGCCACCACCACCACTCACTCCTTCTTGACCACCTTCTTGGCCGTCACCGGCACCCGACCCTTCATGTAGAAGTCAGCTCCAAATCTCTCCACCTCCTTGGTGAGACTTGAGTGACTCCTCAAAGGCCGAGCGCCGGCCGTACCCGCGAGAACCTTGCCGCCGAAGGTCTGGTTGAACGCCTCAACGAAGGCCTTCCACCCCTTGGTGGGCTTGCCGGCGGTGAGGTTGGCGAGGATCCACTTCCGCTCCTCCACCACGTAGGCCTGGACGACCTCACGGAACCGGACGCTGGTGTTGCGCCGGATCTGCTGGACAGTGCGCTTGTTCAGGGCCGTGATGGCCTCCTGCGAAGCCCAGTTGCGCGGGGGCGGGTTGGCGAAGATGCGCTTCTTGCCGTTCTTGTCGAGGAGCTTGACGACCAGCTTGTGCTTCTGGTCGAACGCGGTGCCGTCAGCGAGAAGCTCGAACCGACCAGGGACAAACTGAGTGAACTCAGGGTTGGCCTTGAAGTTGTCGTCGTCGGCGTAGTCGGTGGCGTATGCGCCCCAAGTGACGTTCCGGAACAGTTCTGGCTTGGTGGTGTCTTTGACGTCGCCAGCGACGTCGCCCACGTCCGAGTCGTAGTACTCGTTGCCGGCCTTGGCGGCGGTGGCGATGAGCGCAGCGTGGTCAGCCCGCTTCGGGTCCAGGATGCGCTTGTTGCGCTTCATGGTGGGCGCGGAGATGGGCAGAGGAGCTTGGGCGGTCTGCTTCATGCGACGCTTGGGCGGCATGATGTCGGCCTCGGAGTCGTTGTCATCCTCAGACTGAGTGACGAGTTGATCGATCTTGCGCTTATGGCCAGCGCCAGCAATGGGGGTGGGTGAAGAAGGATGAAGGGCGGATTGGATGCAACGCAATTTGAGCTTGAGGCCTGAGCGACCAGACTCTGCGTTGGGGGGGCCGACAGCCTGGCTCACGGGAATGGGAGTGGAGTCGACCGCGGTGGTGTTCTTGGGGCGCCTGAGCTTGAGCTTGAGCAGACGAGGCTTGCCAGAGCTGTAAGAAGCAGACGGAGAAGGAGCGCCAGTGGAGCGAGGGCCGAAGGTGTGTCCAGCACGAGCAGCTCCCATGGGTACATCGATCGGTGAGGCCTGCTCAACAGAAGGGAGGATGACGGAAGGTGACCTTGTGGGAGTCGTAAAGGGATCACTGGGACGAGCGTGACGAAGTCCAGCCAAGATGGTGGCAGCTTCAAGCATGCCGGGTGAGACCAGCTCGACCGAGGGCAGAGTAGAGGAAGACATGACGATGGAAAGGTATCGTAAAGAATAATGGGTATCGTAAAGATTGAAAGATGGAAGTAAGAAGCTGAGTGCTGAAGAATGTATGGTAACGTGCTGGAAACTGAGAAAGTCGTAATGAGAAGATAGAGAAAGCTGGGTGGTTTGACGATAGAGGCTGCCAAGGGGAAGGGCAGTTTAAGTATGAGGACTGCTGTCGATGGCTGCAACTTTTGTCTCATTAAGCTGCTATTGTCTCGAGGTGAGCTGCACGAGTTTCTGCCGTCTTGTCCCAATCGGGTGGTGAAGGCTGGTAATTCCTATTGTGAGTCGTAGTGAAGACGTAAAATCGACCCATCTTGAGCGCGTTCACTTCGCGGAACAATAGGATTGTGCTGAGAAGCGGTTAAGACGGGACAAGTCGAGGTGACCTGCGATAGTTCCAGACGTCAGAGCCATCTCATAGCCAAATATGGCTTTCTCAGCACATCAATACTAGACTTCTCCATTGTGACCGAGCGATCATGAGACTCATTGTCTCGGTCATATAGCTCTTGATGCTGCATCTTGTTCCGGGGTCTTGCTCCCATCAGACCCTTCCACCTTCACTTGGTCGCAGCGTTCCCTTTGGTGTGGATGGCGCGAACATTGTAGTTTTTGCAGCAGCCATGACGCATATCGTTCCTTGCCGTATCAGATCCATAACTCTTCAGATCCCTCTTTTCAAATGAGTCGCGCAATTGGGTATGGATAGAGTAAGGTGGTGTAGTGGGCGCAGCTCGTACGTGACGATATATGCTGATAGCTCGTGTGCACGCTAGCGCCAAATGTGGTTAGCGTAGTTGATGACATCATCCATCGGGTGTCCCCTTTGGCCGCATCTGCTCAACCTGCCGACGTGGGTGGGTTCACATCCTTGGAACTAATGCGATCGCAGAGCCCGCAATGATCCCAGATGAATGTCTGGGAGAATGAGTAGCGACGCAGACCAAAGTCCTGTAAGATTGACGATGGCGCATGCAGGGCGCGACGCGTCAAGGCAGCAGCTTTGCATTTGTCTTTGCATCACCCAGTGTATAGCTAGTGCTCTCACCCCTTTGCTTTTCCAGATCAGATACTACACTTTTGTCAGTCAGAATGACTAGTTCACCCGCTATCGACGTCGCCATCACTTCTTCGCCCGACGTTTTCGATATCGACGGACATACAGATCTGAGCATCCGCCTCAGTCTCACGCTTCGTCACGACAAACCGATTACATTGTACAAACGTGACACGAGCCTCTTCGACGGCAAGATTCTCCATGATGGCGGGCTCACGTTCACCGATGTCGAGACTGGCCAACTCGTGCCACGTAGCACCTTGAATATCTGCTATTTCTCTAGCGAGAGCTTTTCATGGGCGACGAGAAGCCAATACGTTACACTACATCCAGGGAAACAATATGTCATTCACACCGGCTTTACACCTCTAAGTACAAGCGGACGGGAGAAAACGGATCCAAGAGAATCGTGGGTGAGGTCGTTGAAGTTCGCTGGCTTCAAAGATGGGCAGACATGTAGAATGGGCATCAGTGAGAACGCTTTTGTCAAGGACTGGTTTGAGGGAACAGTCTGGAAGCTACTAGGATGGCAGATGCTGGGTTGGGCGCCGACGACAGTCCACACGCACATCAGCTATAGGGTTGTTGAGTCATCGGTTGTCACGATCAAGCGACTCGAAGCAGATGATGATATCCGCCTCGAGGACGTACTCTCTGTGAAACTGACTGATTGAGCTATCATCTAGCTCGGCAAGTCGTAGCTGAATGCTTAAACCACACCTAAACGCTGGTCTCTAACCGTTCGACCAACACAACCCGTGTCTTTCTGCTCTGGACAAGTCTATCTTGAAGGTGATGCTTTCATACGCGGCTCTCACACCCTATATCTGTACCGATCTTTCCTCTCTACACCAATCATCTCCGCAAAGGTCGTCTTCAGGTCTCTACCCATAGTGTATATGATCTCTTCCAATCGTGCAATGCGTATGGGAACATCGCGCCAGTCTACACGCCGACGCAGCTCCCCAGACTCGACGTCTTTGACTAGTTCGTTTAATAATGCAGCATTCAACTTGTAAAACCCCACGAAATGCCGCGCATGCGCAAAATGCGCAAGCTCATGCAGCATTGTCCTTACCAAGTCGTTCATATGGACGAAACGGCGTGGATCGCGATCGTCACGTAAACGTAACTGTATGTTCAACGGGATGATCTCGGTTGTGGTTTTCCCATAACGATCTATGCCGTACTGCTTTTGAGTCAGGGACTTGCCATGGCAGGTAGAGTACTGCGAGAGCTCATGCAGTATTGGGACAGTCCAGCCATGCCGACGCATGATAGGTCCGACGATGTAGGCACACCGTCGCAGGACGTAGAGGGCGTAGGATCGGTGAGGCAGGCCATCGAGTGTCGTGTAGCCAAGGAAGGAGCTATCTAGGCCGCGTTGGGGTGGCAGATGGTCTAGCCGATGGAACATGGTTGAGCTGATGCTGCGAAAGCTTTACACCTGGTTTTGGTCGGACTTTACATTGTCTGAGAAGAAGCAAAGGCCGTAAGCAGAGAGCGGGAAAGCGAACTTGGCAGCTGGTGAATCACATGCGCAACCGGTCTCAGCTGTTACCTATCCCCTTCCTGCTAACATCCAGTGCGCATTCATTCAAAAGCTATCGGAACAGTGACTTTATCGTGAAAGGGGACTACAAGAGCCGCATGGGAATGGAAAGTATCGGTGCACATACGAGACACTGGTAGTGAGACTCGCGTTTCCCTTCAGCGAAGGTTGTCTCAACGGGCATGGCCCTACACAAGACATTGTGTACAAAATATAGGTATCAGTATGCGTTCACCATGTCTACAAGCGACAACGTAGAACAATGGCTGTGAACACAGCCATCATAGTCAACAAAGGGCCTCCAGTTATTCGTACGGCTTTGTTCACTCCATGCACTTCACAATGATGTTGCTCGTGCTCAGCCCAAACCGCCAAAGCACAGTTGAAAGAGAAGTGAATATCTGTACTTGATGCAAGCTAGACAATCTACAGCAAGTACAAATTGACAACGTACCAATTACTGGAAGTTTCCAAACACATCGCTCGATTCGAGATGATGAAGCTGACCATAGCCAAGGTGACCTTCACACAAGGAAACGCCTAGACACGCCAGCGACTCTCAAAAGAATCGAGAATAGCCATCTTAAAGACTGTCAAGTCCTTGCCTTGGCGAGAAAAACGATCCGCTGTCTTCCACAAATAGTTCGCGAGACATCTCTTTTGGAATGAAGTGCGGGACAAATTCAAGCCTGAGACCTGGCCGTGCGAATTCATGCGATCAAAGCTGGAGCTTCTCGATTTGCAGATCGAGTGTGTACGCCCGGGAACAGCGTTGACCCGAAGCAAATGACCGCAGTATCTGAGGACGCCCGGTATCGTGTCTGTCTCTGCGTGACCCCAGCGCTCGTATCGGGTATCGAAGACACCGCATGGCCACAAGGCCCCACCTCATCTGGGGAGGCGCAGGACTACAAGCTTGCACTACTCAAAGTAAGAGACCCCTTTGCTGATGTCTCGGATCATTCAAAGGCTTTGCACCACGGCGTACTCGTGAGTTCTGCCACGATACTCGTCGAGGCGATCCCAGAGGACATGGGTATGGATGTGGAGACACGGTAGGACCATGTGAATGCCGTTCATCGCATAATTGGAAAGCTGGGGTTTGGCTGTAGAAACTGGAAGTCGAGAGCTTATGTCGCATTGTGACGTTGCCGCCGGGTAGTAGTGTCTTCGAAGGCAAGGATGGGCCGTCTTTGTGCTATCTGGTTCTAGCATTGTTAGCTCATTACTACAATCATTAGACTGTCGGTAACATACTTCCATCCCACAATCATCTCCAACGGCGAAATCTCGCGGCTATTGTTCACAATGTTCACTATGCGCATTGATCCCATCCTCCGGCACATGGCTCTGATCCGTCCCGGCTGGTGATACTCAGGCTTCAGTGGTACAGTTTCAATGTTACTTACAGGGCTATCCTGGCCAACGATGGTAATCCGTCCCCCCAAGCAAAGGTACGTAACGCGTCTGTGAAGAGGGGTTACCTGGAGATGCGGCGGTACCTGGACACTGCTTACATCGCGGGAAGTGGCAGTGCTGCGATAAGAGGGGCGTCGTCGTAAGCAAGTAGCCGTTGGGGGTAGAGGAGATGAGCCTGACGACGATGCGCGGGAATTTCCTGGACTCCTGGAGCAGTTATCATGGGTACCGTAAAGACACCACGGTAAAGGTTAGGTTTTTCGATAGATCGACCGTTGATCTACCGAACAGGCTGACCCAAGCCCTACGATTTGGGTCAACTCCACGATGCTGACCCGTTTTGACAGTTCCCAATTCCTCTCTTGGGATCGGGTGCTGAGACTCCGAAATTTGCTCCGTTGAACTGGCCTCGTTGGAGTCACAATAGCGCCGAGCGAGAACATGAAGCACGGTACGTGTTCAATGGTACTCGGTAGCTTTCGGTCCTCGGAGGCTAGCAGGACATCGCCCTGAAAAGCAAACACCCAATGAACTTAGAATCAGCGGCGTGCAGCATTGCGCCACTGTGAGCCAACGAAGGGTCCGCGGGTGCGGCGTCGCCTCGCTTTTCTGGAACAGCGGCAGCGAACAACGTAGCCCGGCTGCCAAAGTACGCCCTCCACAACAAGCGCGGAAGCAAGCGCGAAAAGAGGGTCCGCGCAACGTACTGACATAATGGCACCCCTTCGCTGCAAAAAAGCAATGATGGTTGCATGTCGTTGTACGTAAGTTGGACGAATTCGTCACAGTAAGCGCCAAGCTGGAGCGTTGGGTATCAGCTGCAGAACGGTATCTTCCTGTTACGTGGACAGAAACGTAGCGGGTATCGGAGTCTTAGCGATATGCAAACAGTTTCAACCGCCATCGAAGATGTCTGGTAGGAAAGGGGAAGCTCCAATGGGCGAGCAGACAACCTGGTGCTTACGCGCGGGCCTCCCTCGACTCGGCACATGCCTATGTGTGCAGCTCTTCTCGCGTGGACTGCACCCACTTATGATTGGCGGTCAGATAACACCTATGATGTCGCTCGCCTGAACGGTGTGTAGGGCTGCGCACGAGTCCTCTTTCAAGGTGATTGACATGAAGATAGACAAGTTGAGAGTTGTCGAACACCCGGCCGATGCCGAATCGCACTAGCGCCTTGGCGTCGCGTGGTGCCCAGCCGCTGGGGACACCTTCGAATCGTGACTTGTGGAGAAGGGGTCCGCTCTGTTCCCACGACACCATGCCCTTTTGTAACACTACGCTGTCGACGATCCTCATGTCACAGCGCGCGCCCAGGCTAAGGCCCTCACTGTCGGACGCATCCTCAGGCTCAGATCTTTGCCGGGCAGAAGGACCGACTCAACCCTGTTTCCGCGGGGAAAGAAAAGCAAGGAGAATCTCAGAAACAAGAATGTGTCAACGGCACCGCTGTACAGCCTATATGGAGCTTCATCTATGTGAGGAAGCCACAGACAGATGGAGAGCTCATCCCGTACGCATAGTCAGCTACGACCCGTTGGTAATCTCCACAGCAGGTCTCAGCGAGAAAAGGCCGCCGCCGGGTCATCGCGGCTCGCGTACAGCTAAAGATCCGGTCTAAAAGCTACCCGCACATCTCCTGGAGCCACAGTTATTCTGCTCACCAAATGTTTAGTGGAAGTTGATCTTGTCCAATTTCTGAGGTCTCCACCTGTATTCGACTTGCCTCGGCGACTTCTAACGGTCTTGAGCAGCTGCATGCGTTGATGATGACTGATCTGCAGATTTTCAGGGCCATACTGCTTCTGCTCGCTTTCTAGCAACGCAGCTGCTCGACCATCAAGTCTACGGAGTAGGAACCAAGCATGTTAAGTGGCAGAGCCGTCTTGCTGACTGCGACGGAGGATATAGCGTCCTGTCAAATTCATGGGGTTGACACTAGGGTTCCGGCCCGGGCCTCAACCAATTCAAACTCAGCACATGAAAACTCCTTTCCAGACGGCTCGCGATGGTGTTCGTGCCGTCAATTTCTAAAGCTTCGTACTTTGGCGAGGTAGAGATTGAAAAAGCGCATTGCGTGCGCAAGTTCGTCTCTAGGTCCGCCCCGTGCGTCTCTAGCTGCAGCCTGCAAACGCGAAGGATGATCATGGTTTTGCCCACACAAAGTTTTTAGTCCTCGCTTACAAAATCCGCGAATGAGAGTTTACCGTCTCCTGTACGACATCACGCAAGCCGTGCCACGTTCCTGCATGTGTGTACACTCCGCTTTTTCGACTGATCCTCCCGAGTCCTCAGTGGCATCCTTTACCGCTCTGGCTCGGTACGAGTCCTGAGATGGAATCGCATCCACGACTCCTTAGCCCGTGTGTAATATCACGATCTCACTTCCCAGGATGCTGGCGGCCGAAGGAGCCCTATGCATCGGGCTGAAACACTACATCCGACGAACATGGTTGGTGACACCATAGCCGCCATCACAAAACGAATGAACACGAACTGCTCAAGGTCGAACCATACACAACTTTTGCACACGCGTGCCGCTTGAAGTTGGAGCTACTTCTCCAACTTTTCGTGACAGCCGAACAGCTCACCATTGTGCAGGGACTGGGTTCTCTGCGTTCTGTAGATCCCGGGAAAACCGGAACGTCGCACGGGACGTGTTGAGACCGATCTCACACACTTCGTTGCTCTCGCGTTTTCGACTCGTGGCCATGCCGAAGGTTTCCTGACAGGGCTGCAGACCCTGGCACCCGCGGAGTAATTGGCGAATGTCACTGTTCGGTGGGCGTACGGAAGGTGGGTACGTGCATAAGTGTGGTTAAAGGTAAAGCCACCGACCAATGCCCATACCACCCATCTCGTTCAGGGATCCTGAGCAGGCTGTGAAATACTCCATGTTTCCCACAAAAGCAGCCTGATTCACCTTATCTGGTCGTCTTGAGACCTACGCTATCACATCATGGCTGGATCATTATCTGATAACCCGAGGGGCAGGCAAGCGGTCGAGATCTCTTCTGTCTTCACTGGTCTGGCTCTCATCACCGTCGTCCTTCGACTGTATACGCGCTTCTTTATAATTCGCTGCGTGGGTATCGAAGATGCCGGCATCGCTCTCGCAATGGTAAGTTTATTACTACGTCATGTTGTGTATGCTCTTGCTAACCTTCTGCCAGCTCTGCTCCATTGGCCTAACAATCGCCATTGGTATCCGTTAGTATACTCCTGACTATGTTATCTTACAGACACTGACAAGATGTAGAGGCCGAATATGGTATGGGCAGACATATCGACACAATCACACCCGATCATATGGTCAAGTTTTTGAGGGTGCGACACTCTCATCATGTACTTCAAGGCTTTGCTGACATCAAGCGATAGACATTCTGGTCCAGTCTCATCGTATACTACCTATCGCTCGGTTTGACCAAAGGATCAATGCTCCTCCAATATCGACGCATCTTCCCGACCAAGAAGTTCCAGATCGCGAACTGGCTCACGATGGCCGTTGTCGTCGCCTACACCATCTGGACAGTCTTCTCCAGTATCTTCACCTGCACTCCCGTACGAGCTTTCTGGACTCACGAGAAGTCTACTTGTCTTAACCAATTCGCCGTGTGGTTCACGAACGCCGCCATCAACATCCTTACCGATTTCGCGATCATCCTTCTTCCTATTCCGGTCATTCAGAAGTTAAACCTCGGCAAGAGGCAGAAGATTGGACTCATCTCCATCTTCGCTGTTGGCGGATTGTGAGTATTCCTCTCCAGTGTTACCCTGTCTTGTCCATTCGGGCCGTTCCGTGAGCGCCTGATGTCTGTTACAAGGTGTAGCACGACGCTCACTCGATTATCGCACGGTGCATCACTGTACCACCGGCTCTTCTCGTGATGAGTTACTCAGCGGGCATACCCCTACCATCAACTGTTACAAAGAAGTCACACTAACGCGCGATCCTGCAGTGTCTGCCTAGTCTCAATTCTCCGTCTACAATCTCTCGTCGCGATCTCGAACTCGGCTGATCCTAGTTACGACAACCCGCCTGCGGCGACATGGAGCTCCGTTGAGACCAACGTCGGCATTATTTGCGCCTGTCTGCCGTTGCTCAGGCCTTTGATCACACATTGGCTTCCAAGGGCGTTCCCGTCAAGACACCGCAGCGCATATTCCCACTCTCGCCCACAAGGCGCTCGTACCTACGGAAGCAGGGGTGGCAGCAAGGCGCTGCGTACCAAGGACGACTACGTTCTAGACGTAACGAAGCGTTCTAATGGTTCGAGCGAGGACGCGAGAGACATCCAAGTCGTTACGGACATTCACGTAGAGGTGGATGGTGCCGATGGGAGGAGGCTGAGTGGCTGGAGAACGCCCGCTTCGCAGGCCACCTGGGCGGACGATATATCCCGCAAGGAAACACAAAGGGAGAACAGCACCGAGATGCTGGTAGACGAGAATCCGCGTGTGTCGAGGTAGATCCGAGACTTTTCTTTTGTTCAGGCCACACACTTTAACATCACTTTGTTACGATACCCCATGACCTACCTACTATTAATAGAGAGTAATTCGACTCTTGTAATGCCCTTATTCTTATCGCTTTGTAATTATCTCACTATCCTCACGACTGTGCGCGTGAGCGTCACTTTCTCATACTCAACCGCTACCCACCGGAACCTCGGTCCTGGCCAAAAAGACGCTCTCTCGCCCAAGTGTCCCATTTCTTTCTACTTTCAATCATGACCAGAGGTATCTGTTCGCGCCGTCTTTGTGAGAGCCATGACCTATCCCCTATGCAGGCCGTTCTTCCCACGACGCCTTGTGCTCATCCAATCACATCTTCCTGGATGGTCAACCGTCCGATTCAAGCCAGCGCCTTCGGGAAAAGAAGCGTACTGATCTAATCGAAGCTTTTGGGCTGTTGTGTTGACTTCCATTTCGCCCAGATGCTAGGTGTTTGGCGAATATTGTGGCGTGGAAGTCATGCAAGCAACAAACACCTCGCTGAGCACGTTGATGTACATATATCGCTGCGCAGTACTACGCCGGGGTCAGTATATTCCTATATTACCTACACTATAGCTTTAGAGAACCTTTCGCAATATATACCTTGCGTCATTAAGAGGAGGAGTCGCAAGCATAAGGAACTCCGCCAAGCCCGTACGTGATGGTCGCACAAGCCCATTCACGTGCATTCACTCGCAGGTACGATTAGTGTGGAGCTTGTGTAGTCCGTGCTACAGCTGACACTACCATCTACTTAACCCAGGGGTACTTTCAGCCTCCGAGCGATGGGCCACCACCACTTCTCGCAGGCGCGCATTTACTCTACCAGTAACTGCAGCTTTGCACAGCTAACAAGCGCGGCGGTTCCATCTCCACTATCGACATACAGGCTGTCTGTATGGTATACGGAGCCCGTATCCACGCCAAAAAGGTACCAGCAGTCGCTATGGCGCCCGCTGCTGCGGTCACAAGCGACGATCGCGCATCATCCGCTCATCCAAGGTCAGTGATTGCCTTCTCCGACTATATGATATATCCCCTGACTCTTCCCAGTGAGCGTGCACGATACGCAGGCCAGGCTATCCAAACGTCTATGTCGTACTGGTCTGCAACTACGTACACATCCGTCGCCCCAAGTACACGGGCGCCGACTATGTCGCGCCGCTCATTCGCTGCTTCCGATTCGTCCCAAGTGCGAGCTTTGAACGATTGCCAGTCGCGCGGCCCCCATACCTTACAGCCTGAGGTATTTGGATCTGAGTTTCACGCCGAACATTCGACCACCATGGGCCCTCAGTGGCTCCAGCAGCGGGCCAAGGTCGATGGATGCTCGACCACCGTCAATGCTACTGGCCAAGCATCGCTCGCTGAGAAGTTCGCTGTCTTCGTGACCTGCGCGTTCTTTGTACTATGGATAGTACGATCTGCCGCTGAGAGCATCTTTACTCTTGTTCCCTTTGCCGGCCTGGTATGGTTGGTGTTCGGTGGGTTCCAGATACTTGAGCAGCAACAGCAGTCAGCTCAGCCGGCGCCGATCATAGACGATGACGCGTCTTGCGATGTTTGTACTACTGGATACATCCTGCCCTTGATTGAGGCAATGATGCTCGACCGACAGACCGCTCATGAAGAGTCGAAAGTGCCACAGTGGTTAGCCAGCTTTCGGGATATGTCTGCAGGCAGCGACGAGTGGATGTCGTCTCTTGGAAACGAAGAGAGTCTGCCTCTCGTTACCGCTATCGCACCAAGTGCTCAAGGTCTTACGGGGATGGCCCATACTACCGAACCCCAGTGCGAGATCGTTGGAGACAAAGACACTGTCGAAGCTGCTAGCTCCGGTAGTGACCAGATAGCAGCACTTCAGCGTCAGCATGGCAACCCTGTCTTTAACGACACCGATCAATGGGCCCCGGGTGGTCGACTTCACAACCAACGCATGGCCAATCATCTTGAACCTATCTTCATTGATGGCGATGGTCAGGCATACGAGGATGTCGACGGATGGTATGGACGACCTACCAAAGCAGATGCGCTGGACATCCGCTTTCTTCTAAACGCTTTGGCACCACATCTTCCGGAAGACCTCAAAGCAGCGATTGGAGCCCAGTCTTTGGACACACTCATCAAGACGCGATCACAGAATGGCGAGAACGTCCTCCTCCAGGAGCTCGAAATGCAATGGCTTCTCATCTGTCCCGGTACTATCGTTGCGCCCGGTTCACCCATCAAGACATTGCAGGATATCAAAACCATCATCGAGGGGAATCGGAGGAAGTTCACCCCTGCATGTCACTTTGATGTACGCCATTATGTGGGGCTAGATCACCCTTGCCGACCATATCTCACGGAATATGAAGAGATGGCGATCAACGAAGGCATCGCAGACTACAACATGCATAACTGGAACATCGACTTCGAACCCTCCTTCATTCGTGAAGCCACGAAGGACAAGTCAGAGCATGCTTTGATCGAAAGCTACGAGCGGATTCCCGACTGGATGGAAGACATTGACCAAGGCGACCTACTTGATCCAAATGCCTTCCACGAGTGTCCATGCGGACAAGTCGCGATGTCAACGCTCGGTAGCTACCGCGACGAAAAGGAGCACAACTACAAGGAGATGAAAGGCTTTGAATCTTGCTTCCCAATCGAAGTCCTCGACGGTAGCGAACTCCATGACGCCATGGCTGACCTGGTTCAGTTCCCGGATTATCCCGAGCATGCGACACCGCCTCGTTCTCAGGAAATTGTGCAGAATTGTGAGCTGCACAAGACGACCAGCAAGAACATCTTCGTTCTAGTCGACACATCAGTCGAAGACATAAACGAGCGTATCAGCCACCCGGGTGGTTTACTTCCTGCTCCAGGAATCACATCCTCGTCTTACCCTTCTGGTTTCCAGACTACCATCGGTTTCTCGGAGATTCCTTACCGTCTGCTCGCCCCTCGGTGTGAGCACGGTCGCTTGCATCAGCTTGAGTTCACGCCTCAAACGATGGCGAGCAGGATGATGAACGCGAGTCAGATCGGCTGTACACAGTGCTTTCCGCACGGCCACATTGTTACTCGATGCCGGGAGTGTCTAGAGCATTGCTATGCTCTGGCTGCGCCGCACGGCATGTGGGCGCAGCTCGATGCCGCATATCAAACGACGGTAGACTTTGCTCAAGAGCAACAACAGGGCCATAATTTGGCACAGAATGTGCAGTCTAGGCGGGCAAAGGCCTTAATTGCTGGTACTGCGCGCGCTACTATTCACCCACCCGGTATGTCCTTTCATGGCCCTCTTGTTATATCTCCAGCTGACCTCAGACCTGCAGTTCGACAGCAGTATCCTGACTACCCCATCAACGCAGATTTTGAGGCTGCGATGCAGCGCGTAAACTGGGAATGATGTTGAACTGATGAGATACAGGCTATGCCTAGAAATGAGGCTTTGGACTTGCCCCTCTTGGGAGCGAGTTTGTACTATTATTTCTCATATCTTTCCTTTATTCGCTGTTTTGATCGAGATCGTGGACGGTCTCGAATGTACTCATTCCTCTTGATTTGTTCAGCGTTTGATACCCTGTTTGCTGTTCTATGAACGCCATCTTTGTTTGCCTATGATAGCCATATGAACGCGTATACCCAACTCCCAAGCCACCAGTGTTATCAATTTCAATCTATTTATATACCAAATAACGCGCCATCGTTGCGAGCAGCTCGATTCACTTCGCAACTATGTTTAGGCCATCTAGAAATTTACATTCACTGCACGACGATGTTGCACCTCCGCCAGCAGCAGTACCCATCTGGATGCCCAGAGTCGTTCATTCACCGTAGTCCGTGCTGCTCTCTGAGCTAGCCCGAGCGTGGCTCCTGGTTGCGCCTTTGCGTGGCTCCCGGTTGCGCCTTTGGGACTGAGCTCTCGCTCGGTATATATGTGCACGCTCAAGCTGCATAGTTTACCTTATTCCCACTACACCACACCCATTATTTCAACCTACATCAACTTATAGCACGAAGTACACTCGCCTGAAACTCACCGCATTCACACCAAAAGGGCCTCGGCCGTGTAGGTGGGCTATCTGCTCGACCGGCACCAGCCTCAACCGCCCCCTTATAACATTGCCGCAAGCGCTGGCCCAGACGAAGCGTACACACAAAGCCCTCAGCAGTCTACTTACAAGTACACTGGCTTCGACAAAGGAAGACCCCATTGTGCAGACCACAAGGTTGTCAAGCATCCCAGGGTTAGTTTCATCCGATACTTTCAACTCAGATCAAATGCTAAATCACTGCAGTCAAACTATGCAGTCACTCAACAAGCTCTTCCCACCCAGGATAATGGTCACAGCACCATCGTCTGTTGCGCATACGATCTCAACATCTCCAGACATCGGAAGCGTACTGCGTGCTTCTGCCACTTCGGAGGTCCACGCCGACATGATTGATGATGAAGACGACGAAGACTGCGATCATCTTGTTTATATCAAGTCGCTCGGTCCCAAGTTCCGCGGAGTCGGAGAGTTGGTCACTCATCCAAAAGCAGACGACGATGGCTTTGGCTTGCTGAAAGACATGGCTTCGTCCTCTCTGAACTCCGATTTCGACTATGAGGGTGAGTACAAAGACTACGAGTATACCCACGGGATTCTCGAAGAGATGGGCGTTGGATGCGAAGAACTGAGTGCTTGGCCATACACCCACACTTACTTCCGCACCGAGATGCCAGATGGCAGCAAGATAATCATGGCAAAGTTCCATGATGCCTATGCAAAACATTATACAGGCCGGCCAGCTTTCCAGGGTCTCAAGGTCAGCGACGAGGTTCATCAGCACTTCCTGGACCTAGCTTGCGATGTGTCCAAACACAAGCCACACTTACATCTTCTCGCAAGGAAATTCGGATCTGTTGTGGACGAAGAAGAGCCCCGTCTGAACATCGGTTGTTTTGAACATCCTCGGCAGTTCCCAGCGGTGTGGAATGAAGACTTCGACGAAATTCCTTTGCCTCTTGGAGAAGAACGTGTAGTTGTCGGACTAGTTCATTCCGGTAATCAGCGCAAAATCGTCTACGAGACGATGAAAGTGCGCAAAGATCTACCAGAAGACCCAATGGTATATTCCTCCTGCCAAAAGGGTATCGAAGCAGCTCGCGCGCTCGCCGAGTACCAGGAAGACGATGAGCAGACTCAACGGGCTACGCCAATCCCTGAAAGCGATCGGCCTTGTTTTGAAGGAGGACTACGGCTAGACGATGTACCAAAAGCAAATTGGGATTACCTTCACGATTTCCCAGGCGAGAATGATGGATTCGTTCAAGGTACCCTGGACAGACTGGAGAAGCTACGCGCTGAACCGGAACGCTATGATCAACTAGTCGCAACCGATTCCCACGAGTATGAGCCCGGCAGTATCCTTGGAGATCGGCAAGGTCTTGAAGAAAGCATGATCGTTGGACTCTGGAATGGCTTGTACCACGAAGAAGAGTGTGACACCGAGGCACTACGCGATCAGGGGCTGCTTAATCCCGAAGACGACTTTGGCGACAACCCGGAGTACCTGAAGGCGAAGAAGCTATGGTGGGAGCAGAAGATGGGCATCCGCGGCATTGAAGCTATTGTGCGGTACCATATGAAGCTCATTCGCGCACGGCGACGCCCGAATCGAGCTGCATACTTCTTGACCGAGGAAGACGATGCCATTCTGAACAAAAATTCGCCAGAATACCCAGCATCGCGTGCTAGTCCAGAGAAGGTTCCCGAAGAACATCGATTCTATGACGAGCTCCATGACAACCCACTGGATTGGACAGCAAAGTCTGAGTCCTGGATTCGGCAGTGGCGTCTCTCGGTTACCAACACCATCGCACACGACGACTTCGACGAGGAATGTCGCGAGGCTTACGATGCGCTCGTGGATTACCAGGACAGCCGCGAACCAGGCTGCGAAGCACACAAAGAGCCAGAAGAGTTTGCACGCCCGCTGCTGGCGGGGCGCCGTGTTCCTACTATGGCTGCGCTAGAGCGGAAACGCAGCGATTCGGGTGTTCAGCTAGATAACATCACTGGTCCCGTTGGCCTAAATGCTGGTTTCAATTGTGCACCCGGCAAGATTCCTGCGGCTCCTCCGCTTGTCAACCACAGCGCTTCTGTATTGAACTCTACAGCTCGCACGTCAGGCGGACTCATGGAGCATATCCTGAAGGTTCGCGATGATGAGGAAACCAACCTGGCTGACGCGATGGCTAATGCGCCTTCTCCAAAGTTCCTTAAGGCGTTCCTGGAAAAGAAGAAGAATCGCAATGCACCTTCTTCAAAATTTCTCAGGGCATTCTTGGAGAAGAAGGCCTTTGGAGGTGTTGTTAAATCCAGCATCCAAGTTCCGCCTGGCATCCTCGCCGACTATTCGGCAGTTGAGGATGAACTTTGTGATCAAGAATCAGGCATGCCATGTAACGTGATACAAAATAATGCACCCGGTCTTGTCCCTATCCAGGGACGCGTCTGGGTACGCTCATCGAACCCCGAGGTGAGCCGTGAACAAAATCGCGAACAGCAGGAGACTGCTACCCGCGATCATATGGTCATTTCTCGACCGAGAAATGATGCCGAGGACGAATTGATGCATTTACTGCATCTGCTCATCACCAAGGCTAATTCCATGCTCCGCCCCTAAGAAGGGATAAGGAGTATCCGCTAGTATTGGCCCACACGCGCGTCGAAATTAGCCACTGCACTTTCCCAGCGCAAGATGTATCCGAGCAAGACTGTGGGAGGCCTAGACGAAGGCTGGGAGAGTAGGCGTGTTCGCGCTGTAGGCGCTGAGCTCGTGAGGGGCAGGACTCAGAGCTGGAGGTTCGGAGGCGGGCTAAGCTCTGCTTCGAGCAAGAAGTAGTATCGCGAGACGTGTGCTATATCGAACATGTATATATAAGTAACTGGTTAGACGGAGGAGATTGGAGGTGTGACAGTGTGATGGACGACGCGATCGAGACGCGTTGGCTGGAGATCGCGAAGTCTCGGACATGCTAGGCAATAGAATACGAAAGTTAAATTTGCCGAGGAAGTTTGGCGCTCTGTTTTTCTTGTTTTGCTGTTGTGAGTGCATTTGCATGCGGACCGGAGTGAAGACAGAGTTGTTGCGACTGAGGTTTGGGAGGAGAGCTGAGCGTCGCGCTAGCCGAAATGAGCCACGTGATGACGTAGCGTGATTCTGCTGCTTACCCGTAGCCACAAATCAAGCCTTCTCCGCAAAGCTTGACACGCCATCTCATCTCCACTCAGTACGGGTTTGAGTGCCGGTATCTATTCATTATCTGTCTGCTTTCGCACCTTCTATGTGATGGGGCCCATCAGATATGCGCAGCCGCCCTGTGTTGGGAAATGCAGAGTCAAGTCCTACTGCCGCACCTGCCTCCATTTTCAGCTACACTGTTGGTCAATATTGAGGTCTCATCACAGGTCCTTGTTGTCTCCCGCGATGCACTCTCGTCCCGGCTCGTTCCGGCACTACATCAAAAACGCGCGGTGTGCATGGGAGCGCTTCGGGAATAGCAGATCAGACTACTGAGGATGCACTGTGAGTAAGCTAACGCAGTCAGCTCAGAAGCTCGCCGGTGGCTGCAAAGTCTTCATTGCTCAAAGTTTCAAGTTCGAAGAGCAAAGAAAGCATCTACTTCGTTTCTTTCAAAACCACAACCCACAATGCCTAGGTAGGTACCGAGTCTGTCTCCGAAGAAAGACAATGATGCAAGATTGAGAGCATTACGCGGTCACCACCGTCACGATCAACAAGATGGGGATAATTCAAGAACCGAGCAAATCAGACCCCTGTCGTGAACTCGTGGTCAGCCTCATGCTCCGCAGCCAATCTCGAACCACTAGGCCTCCGGCAGTTGGTGGACATCCCCCGGAAAAGCCAGAACCCCAGCTATAGACAAGACAATATAGCCAGAATGGGCAAGCCTGATCGGATATCTCAAGCACGATACCGTTCATCGCCGCATGCATGCCAGGGCTGCGTACCCATCACCTTACCATTCTCAATAGTCATGATGTCGCTTTAGGTGACGTATGCCTTGTGGAGTCAATGGTGAAGACATTGGGATAGTGCGATTTTACTGTGGCCTGATTGTGTATAAAAAGGACGGTAAGCTGCTCGTCTACTCTGCAGTTGCACGGTGAGTTGGTACTGCGACGAGCAATTCCTTCCCAAAATGCTCTATTCCTCATCCGCCGCGTTCCTCTACTCCCTGGCAGGTCTTGTCAATGGCCTACCTGTACCAGTACCTCAGGCGTCAGGGGTTTCTGGCGGCTCATCAGTGCCAGGCCCTGTCGATCCCTCGCAAGTCCTGAACATGCCACTACCTTCTTCGGCATCAGGCTCGTTGCGCGGTTCCGATGAGCTACAAGGGTACAACCCTTCGAACCCAGTCGACATGCAGTCTACAGTTGTCCCACCTGAGGACTTCGAACTCGCACCTGGACAGTCAGAAGACGAGGATTTGGGATTGTATATCGATCTCACGAATGTGAAGAATCCACAGCCGATCCGCGGAGGTACTACAGGGCCGACTGAACCTGGTACACGGTAGGTTCTTGAATATGCCCAAAGACAGTACTGTGGCTGATATCTCACTGCAGTACTCCAGCGTATGATCGTCTGAACAGTGACATTTACGCTCCACCCGGCTCCGATATGGGAGAAGTTAGCAATGCGAAATGGCCGTTCGGTCTCAGCCACAACCGGCACGGCCTCGCAGGAGCAGGATGGGCACGATCGCAAAACACCGATCAACTGCCCTCTTCCGTCGCCATGGCAGGAACGAACATGCGACTAAGCCCCCACGCCTACCGCGAACTCCACTGGCACAAGCAAGGAGAATGGGCATACATGTACATCCCTCCTCTATCCCAGCCATCCATCCACCCACCAAAGCTGACCAAACAACCCCCAGGCTAAACGGCAGCGTCCGCATCGCCTCCATGAACGAAGCGGGCCAAACCTTCGTCGACGACGTCCAAGAAGGCGACGTCTGGTTCTTCCCCCCAGGAATCCCGCACTCCATCCAAGCCTTCGAAAACGGCTGCGAATTCCTACTCATCTTCAACGACGGCTCCTTCAGCGAAGAAAACACCTTCCTCCTCTCCGAACTCATGCTACGGAACCCAGAATCCGTCGTAGCCAAGAACTTTCGCACCTCCGTCAAAACAGTGCAGAACATGCCTCAAGAACAACTATGGATCTTCCCCGGTACCCCCGCACCGAAGAACATCTCAGAGCAAAATGTAACGGGGCCGGCTGGCGTGATACCAAAAGAAGGCGCATACTCCTACCACTGGAGCCAGCAAGCCCCCGCCCGCGTCCCCGGCGGCACCATCAAAATCCTCGACCCCTCCACCTTCCCCATCGCACCCACCTTCTCCGCCGCCCTCATCACCGTCGAACCCGGCGCCATGCGCGAAATGCACTGGCACACCACCTCGGACGAATGGTCCTACTTTATCGCCGGCAGCGCCCGCCTCACTGTCTACGAAGCACCCGCCGCATCCCGCACATTCGACTTTACGGCTGGTGATGTCGGGTATGTGCCTGTGCCTAATGCGCATTACCTTGAGAATACGGGGAACGAGACGCTGGTTTATCTGGAGGTGTTGCAGAGTAGTCAGTATAGTGATGTTAGTGTTAATCAGTGGTTGGGGATTACGCCGAGGCAGATTGTTAAAGATCATCTTGATGTTGATGATCAGTTCTTGGATGGGTTGACGAAGGATCACGAGTTTGTTGTGCAGGGGAATAGGGATTTGGGGACGACGGATTTTACGCCGGGGGAACATGGCGGTGCCTAGTTGTGGGTGCTGGTGGTGTGCAGATAGAGCTTGGAATAGATAGTGTCTTGGAACCTTGTACCTAATCATGTAATACATGTAACCATATCCTTCCACATCGCCTCGCAATCATAGCCTATTCCACTTACTCATCTACCCCAACCTCTCCCTACACAACCCCACCGCCACATCCGCCGTCGCCCCATCAAAGAAGTCATTAAGTATCACAACAACCCCCTCCTCCCCCATCAACTTCCTCCCCACATCCCCCTTCAACAACGGCAAGATCTTATGATCACACACCGGTTTCGTAGCTAGTATCGGACTCGTACTAACATCCGAATCAAGCACACTAGCAATAATCACGTCCCTGATATTCGTTGCCGTAGCTTGACACTGCAGTAGTGTAATGGGGTGGCCTCTAGGTGGGTCTTCACACATGGACGACAGTTTTTCGACCATCGAGTCCCCGGTCAGAGTAGCATTTGCAGCATCGTCGTAATTCGAGACCTGGCCGCAGTCTTTCAGGATGATGAGCCGGGTATTCGACTCGCGGAGGTCGTGAATAGATTTGTGCATCATATCCTCCTGGTTCCCCGCTTTAAGATCCTTATCGCGAAGGATGTCATTAAGCGCATCTCGTAGTTCGTCGTCGTTAGGCCGGGGACAGTCGCCTGGCACGCCATCCCACCGGTTGTGCACAACGATGATTTCGTCTTTGTGGTCGACTAGGAAACGTGCGATGTGATCGAGCAGCACGCGATATGGCATCCCTGGTATGGCGCCGTGTTGGAAATACCAGGTATCATCCAGGGGACTGACTTTCTGCATCTGACGGTGGCATTTCGCGGGGCGGAACTCGAAGTACCGAGCCCCGATCTTGAGGATGGTGTCGAGGGTGTCTTTTTGGGTTATGGCTAGCGCGCGGATGATGTCTGGTGCGATCCGGTTTATGGCGCCGTCGCCGACTTTGTTGATGATGGTGAGGGCGTGGGGGAGACTGCGGCCGAGGACTTCTTTGATGATGCCTGTACCGGCGTTTTTGAGGAGGGCGAGGCTGCTTGACATGTTGTTCATGCCGATGTCGTGGGCGGAGGGGAGGACCATTTTGTGGAAGGGGCGGTTGGATTTGTCGGATCCTTGGGGGATGATGTCGCGCATCCAGTTCTCGTAGTTCTTTGTGACGGTGACATAGCATTGGTGTTGCTTTGGTAGCTCGGCGAGACCTGGTCCGGCGTCGTAGAATCCGTAAGAAATGACAAGGTCATTGGCGAAGATGCTGGGTGTTTGTTCCATGTTGACCATTGATCCGTCTTCTAACTTGCCTGTCATGCTGTTGATTGCAACCCATTGTTTTGTGAGCTCGCGGCCATCCTGGCGAACGATGAATTCGAAGTTGCCGGTGAACTTGAAATGGGGCAAGTTGGATGACTCTACTTCGAGATGATCGTGGAGGAACTGGTGTTGGTCGCCTCTTTTGACATTGCCCTTTGGTACCGTGTACTCAACCTCGACTCCATCCACCGCGATGTAGGTGAAACATCTTACACCCTTGGAAGGCATTTCCAACTCCTGTTCTTCTCTTTCAAACTGTCTCGTAAATGTATCGTTCGCACTAGATCAGTCCCAACCTTAGCGGGTCTATACCGGGGGGATCAGAGATGTGCAGCATTTTGAGCTAGGGAAGCGGGGCATCATCTCATATAGCACAACAGCGGGCGATCCGTCAGCCACGCGTTTTCAGCTCTGTCTAGACTCTACGGGTCGTTAGCGGTGGCTTAGCTGTGGTGTTGAAGTGGGGGAAGTCGCTGGGCGCACCAATTAGGCCCAGCAGCCATGGCACGCTAC